CTCCCTAGATCTTCAGCACCCAGCATTATCAAACTTGAAGACTCTGCCAACCTTATAGATGATCATTAGATTTTTAGTGGATTTAACTTGTATTCTCTTGACTGTTGATGAGATTGAGCATTTTAGAGACTTACCAACTGTTTGAATTTCCTCTCCTCTTGTGCTCCCTCTCATCCTAGTCAGCCTTTTGCTTTCTTCCCTCTCACCCTCCCTCCTGCGGTAACTGCTTCCTGGGATGCCTTCCCTCCACCCACCTGATTCCATCCTCCCCACCCCTTTCTAAATGCCATGACCTTTTTGCAACTTCTAAATTCCTCTTACTCCAATCTTTAGCTGATGTGCTTCCTATCCCCAGGGGAGTTTTAGAGGCATTGCAAAGACACAGAAATAAGGTTACAATAGTATGATAAAGGTTATAGTGAATTTATATAGTGAATTACTATGTGTTAAGAAATTGCTCTAAGAATTTAATGGTGTTAACTCACTTCACCCTTATAACAACCTGTGAGGCAGGTACTATTATCATACACTTTTTACAGAAGAGATAATGAAGGCATAGAGGAGTAAATTACCAACAAAATTTCCTGTCGGGAAGTGGTAGAGGCAAGATTCAAACCCAAGCTGTCCATTCTAGTATCAGTCTCCCAAGGACTTTGATAGGGGTAGATAGGGCTGAAGTAGTGCAGTGAATGGGCACCTGATTGCCAGGGTGCAATCAGGGATGGCTTCCCAGAGGAGGTGACACCTCAACTGAGTCTAAAGAAGGAATAAGAGGAGATGACCAGTCAATAAAATAGGAAATGCAAGGGTGAGGCCTAGGTAAAGGCAAGGGCCTGATCAATTCTTGGACACTAAAGAACTGGTTCACCCTGGCTGTATCCTGGGGCTTGTGTGGCAGGGCAAGAGACCAGGCCCAAGTGAGACATGGTCAGATCTGGAAAAGGTGTAGGTCATCCCTGAGTTTGTACCTCATCCGAAGGCCAGGCCAGTCCTTCCTCTGCTCTGTGCCAGTGGGCAAGGTGTGGTGGGGACTCAGCAAACAGACCCAAGGGGACTCCTAGAGCATCAAGCCAGCTCTGGGGTTGGTTCCTGAGCATCAGCCTTGGTTCCTGAGACAGTGTGCGCAGGCGCAGGGGTGCAAGGGGTGGCGCTGATTTACATTCTCCAGGTTTGGGGGAAAACCCAGGAAGTGCAGCCAGGCACTAATCAAATCTAAGGTTAATAATAAACGTCCTGAGTAATGAGTGGCTTGGCCCGGAGCAGGCGAGGAGGCCGGAGCCGAACCAGCCAGAAGGAACAGAGTGAGTAGCCAAGGGAGCAGGCAAGGCTGGTGAGTGGAAGTGAGGAGGGCTCGATCAGGGGCACCCCATGTGGGCTCAGTGGGGTTTCGTGGGGTTTCGTGGGTGAGCTGCAGTAGAGGACAAGTTTGGTCTATCCGGAGTTGCCCTAATCCCATGCAAGTGGAGTCTGGGGGCTTTGGGAGTTTGTGTCTTGCACTCTGGGGGTAGAGCTACCAAGACTGGGGGGTTTGTCAGGAATTCCTCCATGATCCACACCACAAGCTGCCCCCTGAACCCATGGCCAATGGCCAGGACATTTAAAAAATAATACACATATATATATTTATAACATCATATGTTGTGTGTATATATATATACACATATATTTACAATATATTTTATTTAGAAAACAAGGATATATTATTTCATAACACAAATAACAGAAAGTGGTGCTTGAACACTAATTTTGGACTGGTAGTAATGTGTAGGAAATGCAGAGAGTCACAGAGTCAAGAAGGGTTAAGGTCCTTATGTTTACCAAAAAAGAACACAGATTTTTTTTAAAAAAATACTGCTTTGGCATTTAACATATTGTGTTTTGGAATTGGCACATATGCAAAAGTAGAAAGAATTTGAAGACCCATCCTGCATGTTACCCAAATTCAACAATATTGATACATGACCAATATTACTGCATCCATGCCACCTTCTCCAATTCCAGTCCTACTGGACCATTCAGAAAGCAATTGCAAACATCATATTGTTTGTTGAAAACAAAGCACAAAACTTCTTTCTTTTTAAAAGATTTATTTATTTGTGCATACGAGAACTGGGGTACAGGCCAAAGATGGAGGCGATGAGAGGATTCACCAGAGACAGAGTGGGGAACGGAACAGGCAGACTCACTGAAATACACTGCTGAGGGGAGCAGCGGGTGAGTCAGGAGCAGTCTGCTGCGCCATGTGGGTCAGCTCTCTGGTTGGGGATCAAACTCATGCTGCAGTGGCTGCAGATAGCTTCATAGGTTGTGTCTTAACCCCTTGCGCCACCAGAGAGGCCCAAAACACAAAACTTCTTTGAAAACACAAAAAAAATTCTTAGGAAAACAAAAGCCAAATAGCTAACCCCCTGCCAGGTCTACTTCTGAAGAGAAAGATTTCTTGGGATCACCAAATTGCAGATGGTGTTCAGGCTTTTCCAGTTGATTTGTTCAAACCAGGATTCGAACTTAATTCATATTATACTTTTGGTTATGTGTTTTCCTGTAGAGCAGTCCATTCTGTCTCATTATTTATCTGTGTTAATTTGTTGAAGAAACTGCATTGTCTATCCTGTAGAATTTTTATGAGTGGCAGCTTTAAAGGTTTGCTCAAAGGCAGCAGCCTGGAGGCATATGTTGCTGAGGCAGATGAAGGAATCCCAATCTGTCCCGGGCACAACCCCCACCCAAAAGTGTCCCAAGGCAGGCGAGGGACATCAGGACCTGCTCTCTTCTGCTCTGTCCCCAGGGAGGGAGCTTAGCTTCTGACTCCTTTTTGTGTCCAGCAACCAGGTCCCCAGGTAAGACCTCAAATGTATACAATTTGAGTTGGACAAGCAGAGTACGGAGAACGGAGTACAAAACAGCTGGGGGTAGGGGGTCCAACAAGTCAGGAATCATCCAGAATTGTGGCCTGACACCTAGCGGGGCTGCCCTGGACAGGAGTCAGGTATTCTTCTTCTCCCCAACCCCCAGTGTGTTTCTCCCAGGCTTGCTGTGAGACCTGGGGTGCGTCCCTCTCTGGGGACCGGTTTCTTTCTCTGTAAAATTAAGCACTTCTGTCCCACCAAAAGTCCCTCAAAAGCGTTAAAGGGCCTTGAACCTGCCAGAGTCCCTCTTGAATACAAACTAAGAAGGACTGCTGTTAGAAAAATAAAACAAAACAAAAAAAACCCCACTGACTTTCTATAATCCAGCATTTTCCAAACTAATCGAACCACAGTGGACTTTCTTGATACAACACCTACTAACAAGCTAAGCCCATGAGGAAGCATAGATAGAAGGGTCCACAAATCACCTTTTCTGGCTGATCTTTGGTTTTGGGGTACAGGAGAACATGGGGTATCAGCCAGACCCACAGACCCAGGCGTACAAGAGGAGTGCTTCCATTCTTCACTTTATGTCAACAAGCTTCTTTCCCAGTCTCCCCGTCTGCTGGCCCATGCGAATCTTGGAATTTCCTGCCCCTTTGGCACTGGATAATGGTTCTGGGGTTTTACCTAAGACAGATGGTGGTGGAGGAGGTGGGAGAAGGGATGGTACCGATGGTCAGTGGGGACAATATCACTCCCATCGGATGTAGCAGTTTGCTGCCCATGAAGGGTTCTAGAAGCTAGGGTTGTTTGGTGTTTGTTTTACACATTTTTAGTTTATTTTTTTTAATTGAGGAATGATTGACATAGCCCCAACCCCAACCCTAACCCAAGGCTACCACTAATCTACTTTCTGTCTCTATTAGTTTCAGGTGTACAACATAATGATTAAATATATATATACATGGCAAAATGATCACCACAATAAGTCAAGTTATTCTTGTGATGAGAACATTAAAGATCTACTTTCTTAGCATTAAGTTTGTCTTTTGAATAGTTAAGCCAATGACTGGAGGTCCAGAAATCACAAAAGAAGCTACAATAGAAAGTCTCTTGCCTTCCATGTCCTCCATCTACCCAGTTCTTGCCTTCCCTAGAATCAGTAGTTTTACTGGGTGTAATTTATGTTCCATAAAGTTTCAATTGTACAATTCAATGTTTTTAGTATATTCAGAGTTGTGTAAACATCACTATAATGTTCGAGATTTATATCTTCACTGTCCCCAACCCCCACCCCAACCTAAGACTACCACTAATCTACTTTCTGTCTCTATAGATTTGCCACTTTTGGACATTTTATAGAAATAGAATATTGTGTTTGGTGACTGGCTTCTTCCACCTAATGTTTTTGAGATTCATCCATGTTGTAGGATGTATTGTACTTCGTTCTTTTTATGGCCATATAATATTCCACCTTATGGACTATACCACTCTTCATTTATCTATTGTCAATTGGTGGATATTTTCATTGTTGCTACTTTTGAGCCATTATGAATAATGCTATTATAGGACATTCATATACAAGTATTTGTATGGACATGTTTTCAGTTGTCTTGGGAGTGGAATTGCTGGGTCATATGGCAATTCTGTATTTAACATTTTGAGAAAATGTCCAAAGTGTCTCAGCCATTTTATAATCCTGCTTAATCCAGCAATGGGGTTCTAATTTCTCCACACCCTCACCAATACTTACAATTGTCCATCTTTTTTCATTATAGCCATCACAGTGGATATCCCACTGTGGTTTTGACATCCATTTCCCTAATGACAAATGATATTGAGAATATTTTCATATGTTTTTGGCCACTTATACATCTTCTTTGTAAAAATGTCTATTCAACTCCTTAACTTATTTTTAAAATGGGTTATTTGTCTTTTTTATTTTTCAGTTATTCAGTCTTTATATATTCCCATAGAAATGCCTTATCAGATACATGATTTGTAAATATTTTCTCCAGGTCTGTGGATTGTCTTTTTACTTTTTTGGTGGTGTTTTGAGAAACACAAAATTTTTTCATTTTGGTGAAGTCTGGTATCTCAATTGTTAGTCATTGGTGAAGTTGGTGTCAAATCATAATGATTTCTCCTGTTTCCTTCTAAAATGTGTCACATGTACTAAAATTAGAATAATGCAGAGATTAGCATGACCCCTGCTAAGACGACACACAAATTAGTGACTGTTCCATATTTTAAAGGAGTTATTCTAAAGGAAGTGAGTCAGAGGAGAAAGATAAATACCTAATGGTTTCACTTATATGTGGAATCTAGAGAAACCGAACAAAGGATCAGACAAAGACAAACTGTAAGACCGACCCTTGAAGCCAGACGGTAGATCTGAGACACTCAGGGAGGGAGGGGAGTAGAAAACAGGAGGAGAGGAGAGCAATTTGGACTGTGGTAAATGGTGGAGGCTTTGGTGGCAGGAAAATTATGGTGACCACACCCAAGGGGAGAGATCTTACATTGTGAAAACATAAACAAAAATCTTAAAAAAAAAAAAGTTGTCTAGCTTTACTTCTTTGATTTAGGTTTATGATCTACTTTGAGACAGAGGAAGAAAGGAAGAAAGTCTGTGAGTCGGGCTATTATGTACCTTCGTTTGTTTTTATTTTTGCTTTTCAACTTACTATATCTCTGAGTTCTTTCCATAACAATATATAAATAGCTATTACAAGAGTGAAAACAACAGTAGTTTTGACAGATGTTGCCAAATTGCCCTCCGGAAAGGTTATCCTTATTTTCTTTCCTTCCATAATGAACAAGAGGGCTACTTTGCTTTTGACCTGCCAATGACACACCTCAGAGGAAAGGGACATCACCAAGTATTGGTGACAGGCAGCTATGGGAAAAAATGTCTCTAAAACTTACAATGTTTGAACTACGGTCTGAGTTCTGGGAGTAGTCTCCAGGCCTGGAGTGTTAACTTGAAGATACGTTTATTATTAATAATAATTAATATAATTATTTTGTTATAAGATGGTTATATAATTAATCCATTATATGTTATACTACTTACAGCGAAGAACTACCCACTTGGCACCATGTCTTGGGCCAGTCACTTGCTTATCAAGTTCACATCCTTGAGAAAACTCTCTCTGCAAAGGAAAGCCCATAAATTCCATTTGACAGATAAGGAAAACTGAGGTTTTGTCCTGCCCAGGTCCTTCCCCAGCGTGACGCAGGACTGACTGAGCGCTGTGCTCTACCCACCCTGACCGCTGGCCCCGCATGCGTTCAGTCACTGAACCGTGGCAAATGAGTTTCCAAAATGTGATAACAGGAACAAACATTACAATGGGGAGAAGTGGCTACTTCTCTCTTATAAACAGAAAATAGAGTGACTTGACTAGTTCTCCCAGAACTGCATTTAATTCTGATTTTAGATCCAGCTGGAAATGGCAGTCTCACTGCCTGAGAATCTCTGAAGGTTACCTTGGGGGCTGGCAGGGGTAGGTCTACAGTTATTTTCAACTTCCAAAAAAACCTGGTGGGAAATTGTATACAGTAACTGAACTAAAAAAACCATCCTTTTCTCTTCCTTTTCTTTCTCCTTCTCTCCCTCCCCTTACCATCTCTCTCCTTTCCTCCTCCTCCTTTTCCCTTCATGATTAATACAATCGAGGTCTCTGTCAATTCTCCCACATGTCGCCCAGATTTCAGGCCATGGTTCCTCCAGGCCCATACCCCATCTCTTTACATTGAAATTCCCTCCTACCCTCCCCAGACAACCTGCCTCATAGCCCCAACTCACATTGCAAGCAGTGTTTGCTCAAAGATTGGATGAAAATTTCTCCTGTCTATGAAGCTTTTATTGTTCTTTCTTTTCAAGTCACATCAACAGATTTTCTTGCCAAAATTTTAGAGAGCAAAAATGAGAAGCTAGTACTTGCCTCCATCCTATTCCTTTCTCCAGGGGACAGACCCTTCCTTTCAGTATAGAGAAAGAGAGGACTTTGGCTTAGTTAGGCCTTTGTGGCAGGAACTGGCCCTTTTATTTCCTTGACCCACGTCCAGGTCTTGACCAGCACAGCACTCCATATAGTAAAGAGTGGCAATATTAAAAGGGCAATAGTTCAGGAGGTTAAGCCTTTACTAACGTGCTCGTTGCCATGGTGAACAAAGTATTTGCCATGTATTTAATATTCGCAGTGGCCTTATGAAGTAAGCAATGGCATCCCCATTTAACAGGTAAAGACACTGTGTGTCAAAGGGGTGAAGCTGTGTCCATGGTCACACAGCTGGGAAATGCTGGACCCAGGATACGAAGTCCAGTAGTTCTAAGCATTGTTGCCCAGTGACTTTATGAGGCTCACATTCAAAGAGTCTCGGGACAGAATTTGCTTATACTGCTAGTTCTTGACTTTTCAATTTTAGACATTCTGATTGGATTTCTTGCTTTCTAAGATGAGAACTTAACTCTAACATCACTATCTGTATACATACCACGCCCCTCCACCTGGCTTCCCTTAGCAGGTTTAGTTAGATCCATGCAGAGTGTGAGCAGTTCCCACGCAAGGAATGGGCAGACCCAAGTGGGTGGGGGAAGCATGTGTGGTAGCACCAGCAGGCGTTAAACCCAGGCAGCCTGGAGCTTCAGCCCATGATGATGCCCTCAGGGTTTTCCAGGGAATCCATGAACAATTGACCTGGATGCTCCAGGGTAGATGACAGCCTGAAACTGACCTCTTTGCTGGCTGTCAGCTAATTAGTTTGCCTTCAAAATGCAAAGGCCTATATCATTCATTCCTGCCCCTCTCCTGCCTCTTGGAAGTCCTGCCTTTGCCTTTATTTACTTTATTTAGACTGTAGTCTAAAGGACTGTTTCCCCTCACACATTCGAGTAAACTGTTTTATAGCTGACATAATTCAAAGTCTCTGAGTTATTCATTCACAGTTGTTCACATGTTTATGATATAAATATTGTTCATAGCTGCACCATATATATTTACTAATTTTCCTGAAGTTCATAACTCCTCAGTTTTCTATGCCAGTATCAGTAATACTCTTGGACAGATCCAGCCTGTCAATTGGGCAAAAATACTGGCTTATCTCTTGTTATTATGTTTTCACTGGAGACACCATTTCCTCTCTTCTGTTTAGCTGGGATCTCTCTAGACTGTCAAGCAATTGTCCCTGGAGATTTCCTTCACCTCCAGTCTGAGAATTCCTATTTTCCCTCTTTGCTGAGGGGAACAGAGGCCTGTTTTACACCCTTCTCATTTTTTTGTTTATTCCCTATATTTGATGGTGCACATCCTCAGGAGCTCTCCAAGAAATAGTGCAAGGGTAGAAGATAAAACTTTTGCGATTTTGTATGTCTCATATGCCCTTATTCAACCCTATGCTTGATTGATAGCATAGAGTATGGTAGACTGAAAATAATTTTCTATCAGGAATTTGAAGGCATTGTTCCACTTTCTTCTTATTTTGCTTTTTGGTGGTAACATATATAGCAAAATTTACCATTGCAGTCATTCCTAAGTTGACAATTTAGTGGCATTAAGCACATGAAAAATATTTTGCAACTATCACTACTGTCTATAACTAAAACCTTTTTATTATCCCAAACAGAAATTCTGTGTCATTAAGCAGTAACACCTACTTCTCCCCTCCCCTCAGTCCTTGATAACCTCTAATCTACTTTCTAACACCATGAATTTGACTATTCCAGTAACTTCTTCTAAGTGGCATCATATACTTGTTCTTTATGGCTGGTTGATTTGACTTAATGTCTTCAAGTTTCATCCTTGTTGGAGCATATGTCCATATTCTATTCATTTTGATATCTGAGTAATATTCCACTGCGGGTTGCACGTTTTATTTTTAACTGTTATTGAGCACTTTGGTTATTTCTACCTCTTAGCTGTTGTGAAAAATACTACTATGAATATTGGTGTACAAGTATCAGTTTGGACCATTGCTTTAATTCTTTTGACTATATACCTAAGAATGGAATCACTGACCAATTTGAGAACTGACCAAATTGTTTCCTACAGTGGCTACACCGTTTTTCATTCCCAGGGTCAATGCATGAAGACTATAATGTCTCCAACACTTTTCTCCACTTTTTTGATAATAGCCATCCTAATAGGTGTAAAGTGGTGTCTCATTGTGGTTTTGATTTGCATTGAAAACATGTTGAGCATGTTTCATGTGCTTACTGGCCATTTGTGTATCTTATTTGGAGAAATGTCAATTCAAGTCTTTTGTCTAGTTTTGACTTGATTGATCATTTTTTGTTGTTGAGTTTTAAAAATTCTTTCTATAATCTGAATATTAATCCCTTATCAGAGATATAATTTGCAAATACTTGTTCCCATTCTCTAAGCTGCCTTTTCAGTCTCTTGATCTTGTCCTTTGATGCACGAAAGTTTTCAATTTTGATGAAGCCCCATATATCTGTTTTTCCTTCGGTTTGTGTTGGCGTTATAAGCAATGTGTTGCCAAATTCAATGCAAGAAGATTCCCCCTATGTTTCCTTGTAAATGTTTTAGTTGATGCATTTTGAGTTAATTTTTGCATTTGTTGTGAAGTAAGGGCCCAACTTCATTATTTTGCATATGGATATCCAGTTTTGTTGAAAAGACTATCTTTTCTCCACTGAAAGTTCTTTGTCCTCCTGTCAAAAATCAATTGACCATATTATGCAGGAATTTATTTCTGGGTCTCTATTTTATTCCATTGGTCTATATGTTTGACTTTATGCCAATTCCATATTGTTTAGCTTTCCAGTAATTCTCAAAATCAGGACGTGTGAGTCGTCCAACTTCTTTTCAAGATTGTTTTGGCTATTTGAGGCCCCTTGCAATTTCATACAAATTTTTAGGATGGGTTTTTCTATTTGTGTAAAAAAATCATTGGGGATTTTATTAGAGCTTTATTGAATCTGTACATCATTCTGGGTGCTATTGACATTCTAACAATATTAAGTCTTCAAATCTGTGAACACATGTGTTTACATCTTAATTGCTCTCATCTATGTTTAGTAGTTTTCAGTGCATACTCCTTTTACCTCCTTGGTTAAAATTATTCCCAAGTATTTTATTATTTTTGTGTCATTTTAAATGGAATTATTTTCTTAACTTTCTTTTAGAATTGTTCAAGTATATATAAATGTGACTGATTTTGTAGCCACACCTTTGCTGAGTTATTAGCTATAACAGCTGTATATGTGTGAAATTTTTAGGGTTTTCTACATATAAGGTCATGTCATTGGTAAACAAAGATCATTTTACTTTTTCCTTTGCTATTTCCGAACTCCTTTCTTTCTTTTTCTTGCTCTTGTTATAACTTCCAGTACTCTGGACTCTTCTAGTCAGAAGAGGTAAAAGTAATCATCTTAGTCTTGTTCTTAATTTTAAGGGAAGAGTTTTCAGTCTTTAATCATGGAATATAATGTTAGCTGTTGGTGTGTCATATGGCCTTTATCATGTTGTGTAGGTTACCTTCTATTGTTAATTTTTGAGCATTTTTATCATGAAAGATGTTGATATTTTTCAGGTACTTTTTCTGCATCAGTTGAGATGATCATATGGTTTTTCCTTATGTTGACTGATTTTTATTTATTTTTTTTTTTTTTGTGAGTGTATTCACTAACTTTATTGGTAATCATTTCATAATATACTTGTGTATCAAATAATCACATTTTACATCCTAAGTCTATGAATGTTAAATATCAATTACATCACAATTTCTGGGGAAAATTATGTTGATTGATTTTTATATGTTGAACTATCTTTGCATTTTGGGAATAAATCCTTTTTGGTTAGGTATATAATCCTTTTGATATACTATTGGATTTGCTTTGTTAATATGTTGTTGAGGACTTTTACATCTATATTTGTAGAGTATGTTGGTCTGCAATTTTCTTTTTTTACACTATCTTCATTAGGCCAGCAATCAACGTAATGCTGATCTCATAGAAATACAGGCCAGGGAGCTACCCACGTGATGCAGCAAACCTCTTCTGTCTTGCCCGCTGCTCCCCTCAGCAGTGTATTTCAGTAGATCTGCCTGTTCTGCTCCCCACTCTGTCTTTGGTGAATCCTCTCACCCCCTGCACCTCTGGCCTACACCCCAGTTCTTCTACACACACCCAAAAATCTTCCTCCCTTCTATTTTGTGGAAGAGTGTACAGAGATAAGTGATAATTCTTCTTTTAATGTTGGTAGAATTCACTGATGAAGTCATCTGGTCCTGGGGTTTTCCTTGGAAGGTTTCTGATTGCTGAGTCATCTCCTTACTAGTTGTAGATTTGTTCAGATATTCTTTTCTTCAATTGTTAGGTCTAGTAGATTGTAGAAATGTGTCCATTTTATCCAACCTTTAGGTGTATAGTTGTTCATAGTGTGTGTCTTATAATCCTTTTTATTTCTATAGAATTGATGATATTGCCTCCCCTTTGTTTTCTGATTTTAGCAATTTGGGACTTTTTTCTTTTTCTTAATGTAGCTAAAGGTTTGTGAATTTTCTTAATCTTTTCAAATAACCAACATGTGGTTTTGTTTGTTTTCTCTATTTTATTTATCTCTGCTCTAATCTTAATTATTTTTTTCCTTCTAGCTTTGAATTTTGTTTGCTCTTCTTTTTCTAGCTCTTCTAAGTGTGCAATTAGGTTATAACTTGAAAATCTCTTCTTTAGTGTATGTGTTTACAGACATACATTTCCCTCTTATCATTGCTTCTATCGCTTCCCATGAATTTTAGTATGTAGTGTTTTTACTTTCCTTTATCTCAAGATATTTTCTAATTTTTCTTGTGATTTTTTTTTTCTTGGGCTCATTGGTTAAGAATATGTTGTTTAATTTCCACACGTTTGGGAATTTTTCAGTTTTCTTGCTTTTATTGATTTCTAGTTTCCTTCCATTGTTATCAGAAGAGATATCTTGATGATTTAAATCTTTAAAAATTTACAAAGACTCCTTTTGTGACCAAAAGTGTAGTCTGTCCTGAAGAATATTCCTTGGGTCCTGGAGAGGAAAAAGTATTCTGTTGGTTTGGGATGGAGCTTTCATATATGTCTGTTAGATCTAATTGATTACAGTATTGTTCAAGTTTTCTATTTCCTTATTGATCTTCTCTGAAAGAGGGGTATAGAAGTATCCAAATATTATTATAGAACTATCTGTCTTCAGTTCTTTCAATTTTTATTTCCAGATTTTGGGTCTCTGTTGTTCATGCTTGTATGTTATAACTTCTTGCTGTATCAAACTTTTATCAATATATACTTTTCTTTGTCTCTTCCAACCTTTTAATTTAAAGTCTGCTTTATTGTTGTTATGACAATAATATTGCCACCCAAGCTCTTTATGGATTACAATTTGCATGGAATATCTTTTTCTGTTTTTCTACTTTCAATTTCTTTGTGTCATTTTGTTTAAAATAAATCTCTTGTACCCAACAGATAGATGGATCCTGTTTTTTAAAAATCCAATCTTTGCCTTTTAATAGAGGGGGTTAGCCCCACTTACATAATGTGATTACTGATAAAGAAGAATTTACTTTTGTCAAGTATCTATTTGTTTTCTCTGTCTCAATGTATCTTGTTCCTCAATTCCTCTATTACTGCTCTTTTTGTTTTTAGTTGATTTGTAGGCACCATTTGGATTCCCTTTTTATTTCTTTTTCTGCATATTTTTAGTTATTTTCTTAGTAGTTACCTTGGGGATAACAATTAATATCCTGATCTTATATATGCCTTGGTTTGAATAATTACAACTTAGTTTCAACCGTATATCTCTGTTCTTACAACTCTGTCCCTTCTCATTTATATCATTAAGTTTGTCACAGATTATTTACTTTTTTAATACAATGTATGTCCATCAACATAGGTTTACAATCATAGTTTTGTGCATTAATCTATTAAATTATGAAGGAGGAAAGGAAGGGTTACAGACCATATGAAAATACAATAATTATGGTGTTTATATTTGCCCATGTAGTTACATTTACCAGTGTTTCTTATCCTTTCTTTTGACTTTAATGTCTGGTATGTGTCCATTTCAGCATGAAAAACACACTTAGCATTTTTGTAGGGCAGGGCTACTGGTAATGAACGCCCTCAATTTTTGCTTATGTGGAAATGTCTTGCGGAGCCAATGAAATCAGACACAAAAGATCAAGAATGGGCAATATTAACAACCCACTGTGATAAAAGCCAGTAGAGAAGTTACTTGTGTGACTGGGTATTAGTGGGGAGAGATGCCAAGGGAGTCTTCAGGTGCAACACATGTTCTATACCTTGATGTGGGTGGTAGTGACACAGGTGTGTTCATATGGAAAAATTAATCAAGCAATATACTTAGGATCTGTGCGGTATACCGAGGATCTTGATACATGTCATTGTGCCTTGTACCTCAGTAAAAAGGAAAAAGGGAAGGAAACGAATATTTATTGACTACTTGCTATATGTTAAGCACAGGTTATATCAGCTTTTTTTGTTTTTCATTCATTTAATGAGCACCTACTATGCCCTAAGTTCTGAGGACCTAACAGTGGACAAAAAGTTAGGCAGAATCTCTGCCTGCATGATGCTCACAACTAAGGGGGGACGATATTAAAAAATCATACTCATAAAATGCAGCAACAACAATGACAACAACACATGTCAGTGTGCTGAAGAAGGGATGTGTGCTCATCTGGGGGTTCAGGCAGAAAATGTTCCCTGAGGAAAGGAAGGCAAAAGAGAGAGCTACCGGATGAGGGGCCAATAACCAGCTAAGGAGGGGGAAGTAGAGCATATTATGCAAAGAGAATAGCACATGCAAAGATCCTGTGGTAGGAAGAGATGTAGCAGAAACCAGGGCATAAGCAAGGCATATGTGATATGAAAGAGAGGGGACTATTTTATAGATGGGGAAACTAAGGCTTAGGAAGCTCAGGTAACTACCCGAGGTCAACCAGCAACTAAGTCTTGGAGTGGAAGCCAGATTTGCCAGGTTCCCCCATTACTTGCTGAGACAGAGAGTGGGGATATGAGCCAGAGAGATCACTGGGTTCCAACTTCCAGCAAATGCCAGCTGCTCTCACACTCCCTGCCTCTCAGCTCCACAGGGCCTGTGGAAAGGAGTGATCATGGAGCTCTGTACTCAAGAGCAGTACTGGGATCCCCTGCTGAATGTCTGCTTCTCCTGCAAATCCATCTGCAACTATCAGATTCCACGCACCTGTGCAGCCTTCTGCAGTGAGTTCTGAGGCTTGAGTCCAGGGGACAACTGGATCACCCTTCTCTTCCCTCCCAGAGCTCCTTCTGGCCACACTGCACTTGGGTGCTGAGGAGGGGGTGGTGGAAGATGTACAGTGTGGTGGCCCTGGATGCCTCCTAAATTACCTTAGGAACTTTGCACATGTTGTACACTCTACAAACCCAAGAAGTCGTATCATTTTACCTGTAAATACTAGATCATGAACCCCTAATACACAGGTCCTTTAAAATACCATGTCAATATCTTATCACCCCCAGAAATATTATCATGTGATACTCAGGTCATTTCCAATTTTTCCTGATTATTTTGAAAAATATCTTTTGCTTTCTGGTCTTTTTCATTAACTTATTGTTTTCCTTGACAGAACTTATCCCAATTTATATTGTTTTCTCTTGTATATCTGTTTCATTTCTGTCTCCACCACCAGACTCTGAAATCCTTGCCTGACTTGCATTTAATATGATGCCTCACACATAGTAAGCGCTTCATAAATACTTGTTGAGTGGAGCTCAGTTAAACTGAGTGACTTGTCCAAGATTGCACAGCTTAATCATGGACAAGTTAGGATTTGAAGCCAGGTCTCTCTGCCTTTGACCCATCATCCATTAATGAAGTAAACATTCATTGTATTGTCCCACAAATATTCATGGAACCTTCGAATGTCTTGAAAATAGGAATCTGACATGACCCTTCAAGGAGGTTATTATCTCACAGGGAATATTACTATATTTCAAGGTAGAAAGGTTAAGTACCATAAAATGCCAAAATTGGAAGAGACCACCCTGATGGATGGGTTGAGGAGCAGGGAAGGATTCTTGGAGGAATGCCACCTGGGATGGATAGTTGAGTTCTTAGATGTGCAAGTCAGATGGAAGGACACTGTGGGAAGGGAAAACAGTGTGAGCAAAGGCGTGGAGGTGGGGAAAGAATTACAGGGCATCCGAAGGAGGGGACAAGGTCACAGAAAACCCAGGGCATGCCGTGCCATCAGGCTGTTTCCAGAGTGGTGGTGTTAGTCATCCTATGTGGAGCCCTGGGGTGGGGCAGGGCTAGGATGTGGCCTCCAGTCCCATCCAGGGATCTTTGCTGAGGTCCCAATCCCACCCGCTTTTTGTGGTCTTTTTCCTTTACTCTGTCAAGGACATAAGGGTTGGGGAGTTTGCATGGCTGAGAGGTAAAAATGAATTTTGAAATTATGTGTTAGACACTGCACTGGTCCATCGAATCCTCATCACAGACTTAAGAAGTCAGTATAGTCATTCCTCTTTTGGAAACGAGGAAACTGAGGCACAGAGAGGGTAAGACCCCACAAGCTGCGAGTGATAGTGCTAGGGATGCACCCAGTCCTTTTACGTTCTTTTCCTCCATCATGCACCCTCTTTGAAATGTGCCCTTAAAATTTGCATGGAGTCACATTTTTCTATAAATAGAATCTTGTTTTAAAAATGAGAAACTTGCCCTGTGAAAGGAAGGATTTCTGTTAGGCTCTTAAAGTTACTCCTCAAGGTAAGTGTGACAGGCCTTTGGTTTGCTTGGCTTCTATTTCCTGGCCCTGACGTCTGTTTAAGCTCCTGCAATTCTCATTAATTTTTAAGCCAGAAGGAACACTATTATCTTGAACTTCCCCTTCTTCCTTCCAGCTCCCTTCCCCAACGTATCAAGGCGAATTCTGGCTTTCCCTTCTGATCCTCATATTAATATGCAATATGTTTCTCTTTTATAAGAAACGAAAAATAAAGACTTTGATGTGACAATGCAACAATTTGATGCCAACTTTAAAAAAATAACTAGGAAATCCTTACATGTTTAGAAACTAAGAAATGCACCTTTAAATAATAAGATAGGTCAAAGAAGAAATGATAAAAAGTAAAAACATTGTAAACTGGGTCTCAAATACTACATATCAAAATGCAGCTAATACGGCTAAGTAGGACAATGATAATGTATAGAATTACATTTACATGTCGGAGAAAGACTAGGATTACCTTGGAATTATTTTTAGAGGATTGGAATGTGATTTGTCTTTTAACTTGTATGCCCATTGACGCCAGACCCATGGCTTCTGCTGGTCTCTGTCACCCAGTCATGCCACCCATTTCTGTCTCCCAGAGTCCCTCAGCTGCCACAAGGAGCAAGGCAGGTACTATGACCAGCTTCTGAGGGACTGCATCAGTTGTGCCTCTATCTGCGGACGTCACCCCCCACAATGCAAGTATTTCTGCGAGAACAAATTGAGGGACACAGTGACCCCACCACCAGAGCACAGGAGGCAGCAGACAGGGGAAGCTGGAACCAGGCCGGACAACATGAGACAGTACCAGGGATCAGAGCACAGAGGCCCTGAGGCAGCACCAGGTAAGCCACTTGTGGGTGACCTGCCTGGGGTCTGGGGGCCGGTGTGGGTGGAGGGGACTGACCACTGAGAGTCTTGTAATGGGGCCGAAGGAGTTCTTAAAACACAGGGCAGCAATTAGCCTGCGAGCTGCCCTGGCTAGCTCTCTACGGTGGAGACTTCCTCAAAATGAGAAGGAAAAGGTATTACAAAGAAAGCTCAGGTGGGGGCTGGTCACGCTGGATGTGATGAGAAGGGTTCCTCCAAACTAAGCATCTGCTGAGTGCTGAGCATTGGAAATGAGCTGATTCTCCCAGCAGACACCTCTTGGCTCACCTCCCCTGTTATGTGGTGTCAGAAAGGATGGGCGAGAGAGGCCATGGGTGTCTACATCACTTGACACTGTTGCCAGCCCATTAGCGGAAAGACAGGAGGCCTGAAGCTTCCAGTGGGCAGACTGGTTTTTCCCTTTGCTGTCACGCCCTTGTGGTTATATCATTGCCATGAGGCCTGGCCGTGGTGCCAAGATTCACGGCCAGAGCTGGCACGCCTGCTGACCCAGGTTGCCAGCCCCAAGTTCTGCTTGGTTAGACTGTCATCTGCTGTCACTTCTCAGTTAGACTGTCACTGCTCTTGTCTGCTCTCTCACCAGTGAGCTCTTGCTTTGTAACAGTCAGCCCTGCGGCGAGTATGGGGTAGCTGGGGTCAGCTGTGCTTGGCTCTGCTGTGTCTCTCACCTGCTTCCTGGGACCTGCAGGCTGACAAGGCACGGCCTTCTCGTGATGATGGCCAGGGTGTCAGAGAGAGGTGCATACAGCCTTTTGATGCCAGGCCTGGGAACTTGTAGACTGCACTGCCACTGTGACTCAGACCACAAAGCCAGCCAGGCTCAAGGAGGGTGTTTGTGGCTGAGTTTAATTTAGCAAAGAGAGGGACTGCCTGGGGCATAGTGACAGAGCTGGTGAGGAAACGCCAAGGTGAAGAGAGTGGTCACACCTGCTCCTCCAGTGTCTGGTGACCCCTGTGCCTGTCCTGTGGCAGGTGATAGGTTTAATTCTTGCAAACCTGGAAACTCTCCCACCTCCAATGCACTAGTCTTCCATCCTACCCACTTTATAGATGGAAATGCTGAGATTCAAAACTTGGGGTGACTGACAGTTGCACAGCAAGTGCCTAGCACAACTGGGACTTGGGCCTGGTCTGTGATTTCAAAGTGTGTCCACCAAGAGCAAAGTGTGTCCATGGGATTGCTGTGGTACGTGGTGTGTGGGATATGTATGTACGTGGGGAACCACTGGGGCCTGCAGGACAGCTTGACCTGTCATATCACTGTCCCACGGGCACCATGGCACAGCATGGGGACCCTCTAGGCTTCAGGCATAGGGACTGTCCTGCTGAGTCCTGCCCCTTCCCTGTGTCTCCAGAGGTCTGGGGTTAAGTGTCCTGTTCTCTCTGATGCCTGGGTGTACCAGTGGGGCAGGAGCTGGGCTTGGTGTGGATTATAAACAGGAAATACCTGGCCACTTGCCTGGGGAGAGAGTGGGTGTAGACCTGTCTGAGGACAGAGAATGCAGCCAGCCTGTGTCTAGCTGCACCAGTGGTGGGGTCGATGTGTCCTCTGTCCAACTTGTGGGACCCCCAAATCCTGCCAGCCCCTAGACATTCCCCACCCCTGCCTGGCCCTACTCAGTCACCCTCCAGGTCTGTCATGAATCCCTCTCAGAACTGTCATTCCTTCATTCGAGGCCTCCCAGCGCCCTGCTCTGGGGTGCAGCCCCTTCCCATGCAGTCTTCTCCCAGAGACACAGACACCCCCTCCCTTGTCCTGCCCTGACTCCTGGCAGGGAGCCTGTGTCCACGTTCCTCCCATCTCTAGTGCATCTTTATGTGGCATCTCATGTGGGTCTGGTTCTGTCCTCTCTTTTCTCATAAGGATACTTATCATTGGCTTTAGGACCCACCCTAACCCAGAATGATCTCATCTGCTGATCCTTAATTATAGGTGCAAATGCTCTGTCTACCAAATAAGGTTATATTTTTCTCAAATAAGGTCAATTTGCAGGTGAGGAGGCCATATCTTTTGGGGGAGGGCACCATTCAACTCTACACAGAGTTAGGGGAGGGAACGCCAGAGGGTCAAAGAGCCTGATTTGGGTGCACCCATGGGAGGGTAAGTAAGTTTTGGGGGCAACCAGAACCTGCATATGAATCCTGAGCTCTAGGGAGCATCTCACCTGAAAAACCTGGATTTCAGTGGCCTACAAGATGGCAGTTGAGGCCACAGGAATGGAGAAAGTCATCCAGGCTCTAGGAGGTGTGAGGACATAAAAGGACTGAGGAGGAAACACTATATGGGGGGCAGGGGTGTGTGCCTTTAAGGGACCAGTAGAAGGTCTCACAGAGATGCTGGGAAGGGTTGTATGTCCACCAAGGCAAACAAGCAGGAAAGTTCTAGAAGGAATAAGTTATACCACAGAGAAAGGTAGAAATGCCCACCAGCTCTGGCCTCAAGAAGGGTAAGAGACCCATAAGGGGCCATTTTCAGGTATCCCACGTGGAGGCAAACCCTGTCCTGAAGAAATGGCCAGGGGCAAGGCAGGGGCCTCTCTCTCAGTCCCTGAAGCCAACAAGCCAGGCCTCTTCCTCCCCTTTCCCTCTTTAGCCTAGTTGGTATTCAGTCCCTTCAGGTCCTCAGGTCCATAACCACTTTCTGCCAGATAGCAGTGTGGGAGCAGCAGGGAGACAGCCATGCCTTCCAGGTCTAGGCCCTATCCAGCAAAGGATCCAGGCTATGCTGCTGAAGCCCAAGGCTATGAAGTTGTGGGGAGCCTGCGCTCGGCTTTGCCCAGCATGGTGGGAGAGCACTGGACGTGGGGCAGGAGCACCCTGGGAGAGAGGGGCATGAGGGCTCAGTCAGAGCAGGAGGCCTGGCTCACCAGCCTGAGCACAGGCAGGACTCTGAGAAGAGCAAATGGTCTGTGTGAGGGGAGGAGAGAAGTGGGGGGGAGGGGGCAGTGAGGGGGCACTTCCATAAAGTGGCTGTTGCTCAGACATGAGCCATCAACATTTCCCGGTCATGGACAACACCCCTTTGTTCCAGGAGTTGTTTCCTTTCTTTCGGGATTCCCAGTAGCTTGTCTTACTTAGCACTCGCCTTTTGTTTATCTCAGGGAGTGGAATGTCTCTCTCTGATGTCAATGTCCTGGTGGAGGCCGACCCATGTCCTCAGCTGCCTCCCCAGAGCTGATACCAAAGACCCCAGAGGGACCCACACCCTCAGCGAGACTGACTTGATAAGGGGGCTGAAGCCAGAGAGAAGAGGGTGGTCGAAGGGTGTAGAGGGCCGCAAAGGAGGGAGCTGGGGAAATCAATTGTGAAGAGAAGTGAGGATGTAGGTCAAGTGAGGATGTAGGTCCAGTTAGAACCTGGAGCAGATGTTAACTCCAGTGGGCACAGCCCCCAGGCGGCAGGCAGTGGGGGGCTGAGACAGGGGCAGGTTGAAGGTCTGTGTGGGAGCCTGTGTCCCCACCTTCTCATCCTGCTATGGTCTGAGTGTTGCTGTCACACTCACACACACACACACACACACACACACACATACACACACACACACGGGAGGTGGGGGTCCTGTGGAGATGGGCATTGAGACCCCAGTTACCCACTAGTCAGGCTCAAACTCCCTACAAGAAGCCCCCCTTCAGTGCAGACGTTGACCAAGGCATGTGAAAGACAGGGCGTGGGGGAAGCGTAGATGGGCCAAGGGACCGGTGCTCCAGGATGTGGGCCTGTTGGCCACGTGGACATGGTCCATGGTGGTGCACTAGAGTGCTCCCCGAGGGAGGAGGAGCAGCACACCCCACAGAGGCACCCCTCCCTCCTTTTCCAGGGACAAACTCCTGCTGGCTGAGCTGTGGCAGCACAAGGTACTGGGTGACTTGCTGGAACTTTCCACAAAGCATAGCTTCCCCATCACATTTACATGCATGACCTCATGCCAACAGCAATGCCCAGAGACAGGAATGCCATGCCCTGTTTTACACTTTGCCTGCTCACGGTGCTGCCAGGGGTTCTTGGTCCACCCTGCCAGGACCACAAAGGCCCTCTGTTCAGCCTAAGCAACAAGTTATAACACGCCCCACTGGTCAGCCCAAACCTTTAATTTTTAGGTGAGAGATGGCTTTGAAAACATTTGTAAAGAAGGAAAAAAGAAAAGAAATACCAAACAACTAGGAAATGAACTGCGTGCTCTTGGGCCAGCCAGGCTCCCACAGTCACACACTTGCATGGTGCCCTCTGGTGGTGGCTCTTAGAACTGCACCTCCAGGGGCCGTCTCCCCAGGACTGGATTTTCAGATTAGAACAGAGGAAAACTTGGTAACTGTGCCCCTTTGCTCCAGGGCTGAGCAGACAGTGAACCATGGAATGAGACCCTCTGTCCCAGAGGGCCAACCGTCTCCCACCCCCAGAACAGTGTTGCTGACTGTTTCTGGACCCAGTGCACTTCCTACCAGGCAGAAGCAGCTTGGGGCATGTCTCCTGAGGCCCTGAAAGCTGCTTGGAGCGCGGTGGCCTCCCAGCCCTCCCCACTGGCCTTTCACGCTGTTTTCTGGAAGCGTGGCCCACCAGACCCTCTTTGAACTGATTTTCTGTTTGGAATAGATGATACACACATATCATTTTTTAAACGAGCGGGTGCGGGGGGCAGGGGCGGAATCGCTATCCAAACATTTCCTCAGAAGCAACAGCTGCTGGCAGTTTTTTGTTTGTCTTTCTAGATATTCTTATTTGAGTCCTATTTACATTCCTCTGTTTCATACCAATGGGGAGCATCTGAAGTGCACCCTCACCGTTTGCACTTCATGTCTCTTGGGGTCAGTCCATCTTAGGACACCAGATGTGCCTCCTTCATCTTAACCGACGGGGAGTCTTCCCCGTGGAGGCCGTATCTACTGGTGGGCAGCCAGGCTGCCCTGGACTTTTGATGTTACCGACAAAACTCCAGTGAATGCTTGTGTCAAATACCAAAAATCCAACTGAGTCCATTTTAACCACCTACTGGCCTTTATTAAACCACTCGCAGATCAGGCTGAATGCCACCTAGCAAGGAGAAAGGTGCTCTGAACAGCCATACAAAATGAAAGGTTTCCAAAGGCAGAGAGGGGCAAGAGGGGATGAGGGGATTATTTCAGGCTTTGGTAACCTACCTATGGGGAATAGAAATAGGCCTTGTGACAGATTAGCTCATCTTCCTTCGGGCCATGGGAAGAGTCTCCGGGAGATTGAAACCAGTTAGATCAGTTATTGAGTCTGGGTGGGCTTAGCCCAAGTGCCTTCATTTGGGGACTTTTATTTTCTTTCTAAGACCTGTGTCTGTGTGGGTCAGATGTGTCCCTAAGCAGGAAAGGTGAGGAGGCCACAGGAACCAGGAAGGTGAAAGTGCTTTCAGTGTGGGGAGACAGTCCTCAAAAGAGGCCGCTCCCATCAAGGTGTGGGTGCCCGACTCCCTGAGCCTTGTAGCTTTAATTTGCATTTTGCTTCTCAGTGCAGGGGCTTTGCAAAGCATGTCTCAAGGACAGGTCCCCAGGCAGAAACCTAGTTTTCCTTCCTTATAAGAAACCTCAAATGACTGCTCTGGGAGGAGGGGACAGAGAGAAGCTGGGACAAATCCTTCCTTCCCTCAGGAGCAGACTGTGCTCTGGTTGTCTATCGTGGTATCTGGAAGTTGGTCAACCAATAACAACTATTTTATTATCTTGTATGGTTGTGTGGGGGCACTGGGCTCAGCTGGCCAGCTCTTCTGCTGGTGTTTCTTGGGGTCCCCCTGCCACGCAGGCAGATGGTTCTGGGGATGGAGTCATCTAGAAGCCTCACCTCTCTGTCTGCTCCGAAGCCCTGCCCCTCCCTGTGGTCTTTCCAGCTTCATTTCTCACGGGGGGGGCCCAGGGCTCCCAAGAGAGAAAAACAGGCTGGCAAGCCTTCTTTGGGTGCAGGCCAGACGGCACAGCTGCATTCTGCTGGTAGAGTGAGGCCCAGGCCAGGATGTGGGGTGGCAGTCATTTGGGGACATTCTCTGAACACTTGCTGCCACAGTCTCAGGGTTGGTCTGGGTGTTAAAATTCACCCTGAAAACATTTGACAAATGCAAATGTTTCTTCTTTTGTCTTGAGTCGTCATGACAGTTCTTTTGCTCTCAGCTGCAGTCTGGCAGCTGGGCTGCCCGTCTCCCCATGAAGGCTACCAGCCTCTCTGGCCCCAGACAGTGTGGTGCTTTATTCCAGAGGCAGGTGGGAGCAGGTGAGCAGATGGAGGGACCACGGAGTTGGATGCACAGACATCTCCACGCTCTGTGCCCTGTGACCTCTCCTTGGACCCTCGCCCCTCTCTGGGTCTCAGTATCCAGTTCTGGGGCACCTGCATGGGGTGATGCCACCGTGCTTCCCTTGCACACAGCGTGTCTGGGTCTGGTGTGGGATACAAAGCATAGCACCGATGGCGGTGACTCCAGCCCATCAAGCCTGCTGTCTCTCTCTCTCTCTCTCCCCGTCAAGTTATAAAACCATGACCTTAAGGAGCTTAAGGAAGAGGGGCCACATCCGCTCACGGCCTCCTTGTGGGCCAAGCATTGGTCTGGCATCCATCCCATTGCTCTCAGCTGCAGCTCCAAGACTGGAAAGAGGGAGACCTTGAGACTCAGCAAAATGGAGTGTAAAATGCAGCCACTGTGGAAACAGCCTGACAGGCCCTTAAAAAGCTAAGCATAGACATAACCATCTGACCCAGCAACTCTTCTAGCAATCCAAGAAAGTCAAAAACATACAGTCATACAGAAACTCGTGGCAGGGCATCAGAACATTCTTCAGCCGTAGAAGGGAAGAGCTGCAGCACGGATGAGCCTGAAAACACGCTAAGCGACAGAAGCCCTACAGCATAGTCCCCCTCACGGGAAATGTCCAGCACAGGCAGATCCACAGAGACAGAGGGTGGAGGCGAGGTTGTCCAGGCTCAGGCAGGGGGCAGGGCGAGGCTTTGGGTACACACAGGAGACCATGGGTACCTGGAATGTCCTCGAAATAGATGGTAGCGGGACCTTGTGTAGACACTGAAACCCACTGAGCTGTGCACTTGAAATGGTGAATGTGGTGGGGTATGAATGACATCTCAGCTTTTAAAAAGGGGTCATTTGCAGGGGCTCCTTTGGAGGAGCAGGAGGATGAAGGGAGACCCCACAGTCTGCACTTGGTAAGTGAGCAGGGACAGTGAGCGTCTTGAGAATATTACAGGCATGTACACATATAATAACTCTAGCTCATCCTTCCTCTTAGGGCTTAGGGAATGCCCCAGCTCAAGGGGCCAGAGAAATTAGCGGGGTTGGGGTGGGGAGAAACTTCAGGGGGAGGGGTTTGGTCGTGGGCTGAGACTCTGGCATCCAAACCAGAGGCACAAGGCCCTGAGAGGTAGAGTGATCAGTGACCCCCTTTTGCAACCCCCCTCCCAAGTTTATACCTGTGCACCAGACTCATCAGCAATTACAGTGGTCTCACCCTCAAATACATGCACCCCAGGAAAGCTCCTTCTTGGTGAAGGTTCAGGACCAAACAGAGGCACCCTCCCTGGACTATCATCTATACATCTGTCCCACCTCTGGTACTGTCCCAGGCTACATCCCACAGCGAAAGGGCCAGCTCGAGAGATGTCCTGCTCTGAGGACTTGGAAGAAGTTGCCACTACTCTGGGGTAGCTGAGGGGGACGGGGGGTGTGGGGGGAGCCTGGATTCCTGCAGCGTCCAGCGAACAGGGCAGCCAAGCCTCCTTATGAGAAAGGGAAACATTTCTGCCCCATCCCACCCCTACCCTCCCAGCAGTCAGATCTACTGGGGAGTAGGGGGCTGGGGTCCCCTTCCAAGGGGGCATGGCTTTCCAAGAGAGGGGAGGTGGCCTATTGGTTTGCTTGGGCCTTAAGAGGGGAGCTGCTAGCATGAGGAGAAGACACTTCAGAGAAGGGGGCTAGGCAGTGAGGGACCCATCCTGACTTTAGGGTCTCTTTGCTGTCTTGCAGCTGCCCCAGGGCTGAAGCTGAGCACGGATCAGCTGGCCCTGGTCTACAGCACCCTAGGGCTCTGCCTCTGCGCCATCATCTGCTGCTTCCTCCTGGCCGTGGCCTGCTTTCTCAAGAGGAGAGGGGACCAGTTCTCCTGCCAGCCCTCTCCAGGGCCTTGTCAGACCCGAGCCAAGTCCTCCAAGGGTGAGCCTGAAACTAGGGTTCTTACCCTCTCACTGCTGGTGGGACAAACCTGACATCCCTCTGCCCTGGCACTGCCCCTGCAACCAACGCAGAGCCCTTCCTGGGGTGGTCTGGGGCAAGCCTCTGCAGTACTGTTTCTGTCTGGGTGAAGTCAGGTGCCAACATCATGGCAAGAAGGAAGATGGTTTCCTGAGACAGGGTGGGTGTAGAGGTGACCCACTGTGGTCTGGGTAGCAGGGGCTTGGGTGGGTGGTTGTGGGGTTTCCAGGGGACTTTAAGGGCTAAAACCAGGAGGAGGTGATCATCCTGGGGAGTTAAGGGGGGCTGCTAGAGTGTCAGCTAAGCTTATTCCTGCTCAGGCACCCCAAGCAGAAGGGAGGCTGTGGCTAGGTGGATGGGCAGTGAGTGTGGGGACCTGGGGGCCACTTTACTACCTAAGGGTAGCGTTTCCTTCTGACAACCCCCTGGCGGGCCGGCTGTCCACCGGGCACAGGGTGGCGGAGGAGTCCTGCCAAGTCCCACACCCTCTTCCCCTCCGGCAGATCACTGGATGGAAGCGGGGAGCGCCGCGGGCGGGCCGCCGGAGCCGGTGGAGACGTGCAGCTTCTGCTTCCCCGAGCGCAGGGAGCCCACCCAGGAGAGCGCGGGCGCGCCGGGACCGGGAACGCCGGGCCCCGCGCGCGCAGGAAGGTGGTGGCGCCGCGGCGGGACGCTGGCCGGACAGCCCTGTGCGCGCGCCCCCGACGGCGGCCTCGAGGTCGTGTGCGCGCCCGTCCAGGACGCGGGCCCCACGGTGTGACACTGGCGGGGGGCGGGAGAGGGGTGGACAGAGAGAGCGGAGGGGCGCAAGGGCCTGGGGAGAGAGGATAACTGCCTGGAGAGAGGCCTTCAGTCACCCTCTGGGAACCTTTCTCCCGTAGAAATAAAACCTTCCCCGCCGCCTGCCTGCGCCTCCTGTTGCTGGTTTTGGTCGTGTTTTCCCCTCGGATGGCTCATCAGCTTTCTCACACGACCTCCCCGGGCCCAGGCTGAGTGCCTGGGTTTGAAGACCTACTTTGACAGGCTCCAGAGAGCCTGCTGGGCTGGGTCGGGTGGGAAGCGGGTCATCTGCTAGACTTCCATTGAAGAGGGAACACCAGGAAAGGTGGGAGAAGAAGAAGGAGGCCTTGAGCGCATGCATGCGTGTGGGCCGCTGCAGCCTGGGCAGCAATGGCCTACCTTCCTTTACAAAAAGAAGCCCCCTGGGCCTCCCCGGTGGCGCAGCCGGGTGGTTGCAGCGCTGTGAAGCTATCCGCGGCCTCTGCAGCTTGGGTTCGATTCCCGGTCACCCAGGGCGATACCCACATGGTGCGGCAGACCTCTCCTGCCTCGCCTGCTGCTCCCCTCGGCAGTTCATCAGTCTGCCTGTTCTGTTCCCTGCTGTCTCTGGTGAATCCTCTTACCCCTCACACCTCTGGCCTGTACCCCAGTGCTTGTATAAATAAATCTTAAAAAAAAAAACACTTCACACAGTGTGTGTACTTGTGCACTGTGTGCATACCTATGTGTGCATGCAAGTGTTTCAGTGTGTGCATGTGTGTTGTGGGTGTGAGGTAGACTGGAAGGGGCAGGCTGAACCCGGCGCACCAGAGACTCCTTAAGCACACAACTGTCTCCTGGATCACAGGAGAAGTGTCCTCAGTTGCAGCCACCTTTACCACATGAGGCACCAACCTGCACTAGTGCTTGCTTAATATTTTCCTTTATGTAAACTTTCCTTTTCTTCTAGACTTACTTTACTCTTGTGAAATTTTATGGATTTTGACTGATACACTAATTACTGAGCACTCACACAATTCAGATGTTACCTATATTTTTATAGCTTTGAAACCCCTATTTTACTAGTATTTAAACCTGAGCATGCATAATTATTCCGACAACCATTCACTGGGTATGAAATATCTGATTATATAAATTAAAATTATTCAACCTGCAACACCCAAAATTATCTTGCACACCTACAGGCACCAAAGGTTCACATAAGACACCTTGGGAGGTAGAGACAAGAAGCCGGGTGCCCATCCTTTCGCCATCCACAGGCTAACTAACAGGCTGCATCAGTTTCCTCAGGTTCTTGGAACAAAACACCACACACCAGGCGCTTAGCAGAAACAGCTTAGATCTCACAGTTCTAGAAGTTTTTTAGCAGGCGGGTACTTCGGAGGCCTCAAGGGAAGGATCTGTTCCAGGTTCTTCTCCTTGGCCTAAGGTCTCCTCCTTATTTGTCTGTGTCCAAATTATCCCTTTTTACAAGGACCCCGTAACTGCCATTGTAGCTCCAGTGCAGCCATAGGCAAGACATGAACAAATGGGGTGGCAGGATTCAAATGAAACTACTTTTAAAAACCGATTTGAGGGGCCTCCCCGGTGGCGCAGTGGTTGAGCGCTGGGTTGCCAAGCTGCCCGCAGCCTCTGTGGCGCCGGTTTGATCCCCGGCTGCTCCCCGGCCACCGGAGGAGGGTCCCGCATGGCGCGCAGACCTCTCCCGCCGCCCGCTGCTCCCCTCAGCAGTGTACTTCGGTCCTTCTGCCTGTTCTGTTCCCCGCCCTGGCTCTGGTGAATTCTCTCACCCTCCCGCGCTCCTGACTGTACCCAGTTCTTGTATAAATAAATTAAAAAAAAAAAATCTTAAAAAAAAAAAAAACGATTTGAATGATGGGCCATAACTTGCCAACCCTCCTCCACCTCCTGGTAACACTAGTTCCCCACCCCCTCACCAGCTTATTGAGATATAATTGGCATAGAACATCCTGTAAGTTTATGATATACAACACTAATATTTGATATATTTATAGATTACAAAATGATTACTGCCCAGGTGCAGGGGAGGGTACTTTCTTACCTTTCTCAGAGGGGGTTCACCTATTCCCTGAGGCAGCCGGCTTTGCTGCCCTTTGCCAAGCAGCGTAAGGCTGTAGTTAGGGGGAGAAGAGTCTGTGCTGGTCATATGCTCTCCCTTCCCCCAGGCCCGCATCACCTGGGGAGGCACCCTCCTGCCTTCCGCTCTGTGCCCCATACTGTTCCCATGGTGATTGAGTGGCAGTCTGGAGAAGAACCTGTAAGTGGTTCTTGTTTGCCATTCCCAGAAGTTACTCTCTCCCATGCTAATCCACGGCAGCTGCTAGCAGTTCTTTCAGGTGTTAGCTGGGTGGACTGCTCCCACTTGCAACAAGGTGGCTCTGCTTCTCCCCTGCCCTGGGGCACATGCGGGCAGGGCTCTCATTCTCTGTCCTTTCAGGCACCTGTAGATGATCTGGACTTTTATCACAAGGGAAGGAACTTTCTATTTCTCTTTTTACTTCTTAGGTGGCCCCTGGAATCCAAAGTCATCTTTTTAAAACATCAATCAGATCATATCATTGCTTAAAGTGCTCCATGAGTCCTTGACACAGGATAGAATCTCAATCTCTTACAAGGGCCTTTGAGCCCCAAATGGTGGTACCCCTGGCTCCCTCTGTGTCAGCTCTGGTTCCTCTCCGTGGTGCCACTACCTCCCTTGTTACCGGAATTGTTCCCCTTCTTACTCCTGCCCCAAGGCCTTGAGCTTTGCTGCTCCCTCTTCCAGAGATGATTTTCTCTCCGTTTTCATTCGGGTCGGAGGGATAGGTCTGTTATGTCGGCCTCAGTTCAAATGACACCTCTCAGAAACACTTTCTCCATGTGAAGTTTTCCATCTCTCTGATTTCTTACAATTTCAAAAATTCCGTTGCATTAGATATGGTTTTGGAAGTGTCTCAAGTTATTTTTGGAACAAAGGAGACAAGGAAGGGTGAGATTTCCTCCAGCTGTGTCCTTTTGACTCTTGATTTACTTGGGCCCTGCTGGCCTTCAGTTCTCAACCTTATCTGAACATAAGAAGCCTGGGGAACTCTTGGAAAAGTCCCAATGCTAGGGCCACAGCTCAATTAAATCAGGTTCTCCAAGGGTGGGGGCCGGGGCATACACGGAGGCGTTTTAGGCCCTAGGTGGTTCCCGTGGGCAGCCAGGCTTGAGAGCCACTTGGTCTGGGCCTAGAGCTGGCCCTGACCCCATCAGCCTGACATCTGATTAGCTTCCAACAGAACACGAAAGGTCCCAGATCTGCTTAGAAAAATACCTTTGTAATGGCAGGACGGACACGGAGCAGGATCTCTGATCCAGCAGACGGGGTAAAGGAGGAGTCCTGGAGCCCTCGGTGGCTTTTGCAGGCTTTTATTGGGATTTACCAGGTACACAGCAGGCAGGGGTGCTGGGGGGCTGTGAGGCAAGTCTTCACTCTGGGCTCTCCGGCGTTCTGTCTGCTTCTCTTGTGGTTCTGCTTCTGCTTCTCGTGGTTCTGCTCTCGTGGTTCTGCTTCTTGTTCTGCTGGCGTCCCATGACGCCACCCTTCTAAGTTCAGTCTCTCAGCCCAGGTGTACCCACTTACACATTCCCACACCCTATTCCAGGTGCCCGCCATCAGGCATGCATTCGGGACCGTGGGGATCCCTCATCAATCCTGATGGCGGGAGGGCAGAAAAGCCTGACATCATTTACTTACCCTGCAACCTTGTTTTCCCCTTCTTAATTATTTTGGATTCTTTTTCACTTGTAGACTTATCACAGGAAAAAATTGTGTCTCTGAGGAAACCCATACACTTACTTGTTGCTGCATTTCCCCCTTGCCAGTTAGAAGACAAAAGCAGATCCCAAAGAGCTCCAGCCTTTCATACATCTCAAATGGATTTAAAAAAAAAAACCATTTATACAGGGCCTCCCTGGTGGCACAAGGGGTTAAGCACCACACTATGAAGCAATCCGCAGCAGCACAAGTTTGATCCCCGGCTGGCCAGGGAGCTACCCACATGGCGCAACAGACTTCTCCTGACTTGCCTGCTGCTTCCCTCAGCAATGTACTTAGGTCAATATGCCCATTCTATTTCCCACTCTGTCTCTGGTGAGTCCTCTCACCACCCCCCACCACCCCGCATCTCTGGCCTATACCCCAGCTCCTTTATGCACAAATAAATAAATCTTTAAAAAAAAAATGTACACAGTTCTTACTATGTGCCAACCATTGTTCTAAGCACTTTACATGACTTAATTTTTTCTATGTAATACTCCTGTAAGGGAGGTACTGTTAGTGTCCCTGTCTTACAGATGAGGAAACATCTATAAGATGTAAGATGTAAACATCAAAGTTGGTTTTTTGGTATCACCAGGAGAAGCAGGGAGAAAAATGTCCTTAGACTCACCCAGCGTCAGGGCTTGAAGCAATTGCCAGATCTTCCATGTTAACCAACTTCCATCTTAGAGATGAGGGATTAGGGTGTCAGAGGGGACTGGCCACCCAGGAGCCTGGCTGGTGTGCATGGTGCCCCCATGAGGACACTCATCACAGCAGGTATATTTCCCACTATAGCAAATGACTTCTTGCAAGGGCCAGCTTGTCTTCTGACAAGGCAGCTGGGAGGGCCTGTGGCTCTCTTGTCATTCTGCTTTAGCCTTCACAAGTTCTCCACATGAAGAGTATTGTCTGAAGCCTAAATGCGCTTCCCTGCTGGGAAAATGTAAGATTTTAAGTGAGCAGACTTCTCCCCACGAAAAGGTGGCAGAGCCGTGGATGCAAACAGGGAGCTGTGGACCCAGGACAAACTAGGGCAGAAACAGTCCCGACCATGAACTGGGTCCAGCTTGGGATTCAACTGAACCTCCAGGCTCTGCCTGTTGCAAACGGCACTTTAGCCTGGACTAGTGAGAGGTCTGGGAATTCCAGGAATCAAGAGTTGCTACTGTGGTGGATACTGGGGTGCACACCAGGTCCACCCACCTCTGGTCTGAGGCTCAACCCTCCTTTCCTCACAGTCAAGTCCTTCTCTAGCAACTATCCTGTAATCAACACAGCTACTTCACCCAAGGCACTGTGCAGGGCCAGCCCGGTGCCAGAGCTCCCTGCAGGGTTGGCAGCACTGCACTCCCAATTCCACTGCCCTCAATTTTGCACACCTTCTGCCTGCCCTCCTGGCTGTTGATCCTTCAAGCACTCCCCAGAAAACCTCCCGCATGTGAGTCTACAGTCCTTCCAAGGAAACCAACATGCTACACTTAACACTTCGTGGGGCTTACCCCATGTTTAGACAGCTCCCCTGGGAGAACAGTGTCTTTTAGGTTGAGGTTCTTCCTTGCACCTTTTTCCAATTGGCTCTACTTCTTAGAAGCACTTAAGAGTCACATTCTAGTCTTTATCCATGAGCCAGTCCTTGAACTGTAGGAAGTGATTGCAAATTGAGGAAGTGGAGGCTCTTTGTTCCTCCACCATTCCTGACATAACCGTGTGTAGTGATGACTTGCCTGCTGCTGTGATATCCTCACAGAATTCACCAGGACCCTCATGCCCTGAGGCATTCACCTGTGCTGCCCCTCTCTGCTCTGAGCCCAATCACTTCCTCATGGGCCCTCAACTCTTCTATGAGACGCTGAGTGCACCCACCTGTCCTTCGACCACGTCTCAGTCTTAGGAGCTGAACACTCATTCCCCTTCCCTTCTAATCTGCACATTCTGTGAGGGGCACGGCATGACCCTTTTTGTCCACCATTCTATTCCACTTGGGGCTTTTGTTTATGGAGTCACAAGCTGAGAGAGTCGTTTATTCTATGAATATTTCCATGGACAGGCAGTATGCTAAGTGCTGTGGGTAAGAGTAGATCTGCCCCTAATTTATCATTCTTTTACTGATAAAGCCCGAGATTGATAGTATTCTTTTAGCAACAGAACTTTTATTTCTGGCTCATGTAACATGTCTCCTCAGTCATCTACAGTTCTCCTACCTACCCAGGATATCCTGGTTGGTAAACACACCACTAGCCGAACATAGCCAGCAGAGCAGCAGAGGGGAAAAGAGCACAAACAAGTGTGAACCAGCTCTTGTTCTGTCCGGAAACGATAATTTCTTATTTGATACGTTCTGTGGTCATTTCCCCTTTTCCTGAGTATAGAATGGGCATACTTGGAACTTGGCAGGTCCTGCAAGCTGGAAGGGTGAGGGCTACTATGGTTGGAAGAGCCATGTGGAACCTGCTGGAACTTCACCCCCCCACCAAGGTAGCAAAAAACAAACAATAGTGTATTACGGAGGGGATTTCAAGGATTCAGGTCCTTGCCAAATATCTGAAAGCAGCGGCAGTGATAATGCCTGCTATTGGTATTTGTAAATGATATTTAACTCATATTTTGGCCTGAGCAAAAGTGTGATGGGTCTTAGGAAATGACTGCACACCACAAGCCTCGTAAGGTGCATTCAAGTTGCAACTGCTGCCACAGAAGGTATCTTCACTGCATCAGATCAATATGGTGCCTAGACCTATGTATGCACCAGTGAGCTAATGCTTTTTTCTCTATACCAACTTTTAATGACCACCTAAAGCAGTTTGCTTAGTCTGAGGGGTGAGTGTGTGCAGCAGCTTTATCTACTGGAAATGGCATGTAAGAGCCTGAGCTTGGGCAGGTCCAGAAGGTACGCTAAGTTGTATGACCAGGTGGCTCAGATTCTTTCCAATACCTACTGTACAGCCCCCTCAGGTGTTCCTTTGATCAGATGACGGGATGGTCCTGCAGGGCAGCGATAAAGGAAAATCTCCCCGTGAGTAAACTTTGAGCAGTAATGCATCTGGGTCACCCACCTTGTCCGGAATGTATTTAAGGTCAAAAATAATTAATCCTCACCAAATCATGGGGTGTTAAGTCTGGCCTGATGGGCAAAGACAGGGAAGGCTAGTGGCAGGAAGATCCAGGTGGGACAGAACTCTCAAATCAGATTCTGGAGACAGCTGTATTCACAAGTGCCTGCCAGAGAATCCTCAGAGATGCGCTTCAGGTTTGGCATGCTCTGTGGATGCAATCAGCTTCCTTTCCAGACCCCAGGTTTGCTTGAACTATTAACAAAGTAGCCATAAAGGCAGAGACTGGAATGCACAGCATCAACACTTAGCCTGGCCAAGGCCCACCAGGCTAACTACCGCTGAGCACTGAATCTAGGATGGTATCATTTCCCAGGAGGCCCAGTTAGCTCTTGAACGTTGGCCACACAAGGCCTCTTCATCGTGGGGAGTAGAGATGTATATTCACTGGATAAACTTGCATTCTGCAATAAAGACTGCCTGCCCCTGCCTGCAAGCATGCCGTCCACCGTCACCACATTCTATGCAGTGATGCTTCTGAACAGGGTATCTAAGTCACAGCAAAGGCCAAGCAGCAACAGGCACACATCCGCAGAACTATCGTCACTACATCAGCCGCCACCTGAAAACACTGGGCTTCCTGAAGGGTCAGTTATGTGAAAGGATGAGGTTCCTTCTTCTGTCTTGATTGCCCCACAGCCAGATATGCGGTTCCCCAGGGTGGGAGGGGGACTGGAGCCTTGAGGTATTACACCTAATGATCAAATCGCAAATCTCTGTACTGGAAAATGGGCTTTGCTAGTTTAAAGGACTTAAACCCCAAAGGCTTTCCCCAGGGGACTGCCAAAATATGGGGACAGGACTGTCTGGAAGCCAGGGGAGCTTCTGGTGTTCCTGCTACACCCATGCAAGGAACACTGTAAAGAAACTTGCAATAAGGGAGCCAAACAAGGACTCACTCTTCAGAAATGAAGGTTTGGGTCAATCCAAACCAGCAGAGGGCAAGGGAAACATGGAATGGGCAGTGGCAGGAGGGCATCACCTGTGGCCCCATGACCAATGTTGAACCAAGGACAGCACCAGAACTGTATTTTTCTCCTTGCTTATTTATTGTTTGTATGCTTTTTCTCCTCACTTGTGGGCACCTGATAACAAAATTCATCTCCCTGCGCCCCATCCCAGTTCCTGTACTCAAACTTGGCCCAGGACTCCTGCAAGAAGACTCTCAGGGGACTTTCATGTGCACCAGTCTGAAGGCCATAACCGTCCTGAATCCTAGATACCCCACGATACCCCACCATTCTGCCCTCAAAAGGAGGAAACATAGAAACAAGGGAACACGGGGTGACCAGATGGCAACACCCAGAGTGGTTATGGTTATGGCTAGCCAGAGCAAATCTGCAGCTCTGTGCTGATTTCCATGCAGCTGGGGCCAGAGGGGGTGGCAGGAGCCCCCAGGCAGGGTCCTTCAGCCAAGGGCCCCTCTTTGGCTGCCATATTAGTAAGGGGAGAGTTGGCCGGTTTCAGAATAAAATGTAGCTTTATTATGACATAGGAAATACTACAAGCCATTAAGGGAAGGGATTAGAGTCAAACAGTTCCTCAAAAGGCAGGTCAAAGGGAGGTGTAAACATCTTGGTAATAAAATCCACAGCACAATCATTGGAATCGTCTTTTTACAATTTTTGTCTTCGAAGTTATAGTAAACAAAACAGTCACTTGGAACTGTCAAAAGAACTGCAAGTTTACACAAAGAAAAGCATACACAGCAAGCCGAGGTACAAGAGCATGGGACTGTATGTTGCAGGGGACTGCTGCAGAGGAGTTCTGGGGTGCTGCTGGTGCCCACAGGAGCGCCCACTCAGGCTGGAAGGACTACAGGCTACCCGGACCCGCACCCACCTCTCTTCAGACATCTCAGGAGGGAAAGTCCTCTTGTTTCAGCGCCAACTGCTGTGAAGACAGCCATCTTGGGAATACAAGTTATTTCAAATACACTGGTAGGAGGGAAGTCCCCTAGTCTGTCTCCTTAGTGTTGAGAAATGCTCTGTGTGATCGGAACACAAGTAAGTGCTTAGAATGCCAATGTCAAAAGGAACAAATACAATGAATTTGGGTATGAAGTTTCACTATAATGCCTACAAAAACTTAATGTAGCCTTGCTATCTTATGCTCACGCCTGGGAGCTGCTGAGTCCCTGAACAGGAGTTGGGAGGAGGATGGGTGTGGAGAGGTGTGAGAAGCAGGGCAGAACACCATACCACAGGCAACCTGCCAGGAAACCCAAGGCCCACATGGCTGCCCTGCCCCCACTCTGCACTGGACACTCTGATAAAGGGAGACCATAAGCAAAACAAAGGAAGAGACTTTGTGGCTCACAATGCTGCAAGCCAATGTCAGTCAATTTTCCTTCTCTTAGATGTGATCCTATTAAGAGAGAACCCCTCTCCGCAAGAAGTCTTCATGGCCGTGTCACACACAACCAAGTTGGGCACCGGAGGCCCACTCCTGTTTCTCTAATAATGCTGGCTGTTTCATAATGCTTTAAAACTTAATATTCCAAAAGTGCAGAAACATAACTAATAATGAAATGAGCAAGTGCTTAAGAATCTTTATCACTAAGGATTTTGCTGCATATGACTGTTGTTTCACATGTTCCAGTACTTTCCAGAGACTCCACTCCTGCTATTATTATCCCTTCCTAACCTAACCAGCTGAGTAGAATCCTGTTCACTGCCTGCTTTCCTATGGCTCGTCAGCTAAGAATAGTTTACACATTTTTTAAGAGGGGGGAGAAAAATGATTATTTTGTGCCACATCAAAATCATATGAAATTAAGATTTCAGTGTCCAAAAGTTTTACTGGAACATAGCCATGATCGTTTGTTTTTGTATTATCTATGGTAGAGACCCCACAAAGCCTAAAATATTTACGACCTGGCTTTTGATGAAAACAATGTGCTGACCCCCCTTCATATGCAGCTGGGCCCCCAGGACAGACACAGCTTGCAAGTGGGTTTTTCACAAAAAAACAGCAAACTATTCCTCCCTCATGTCTGGGCTGTAATTTCTCAGAAAGGTACAAACAATCTTAAGTTTGCGTTTGAACAGATAGAAGCATGCAAGATATCTTACAAGGAACAATTCGTGTTGTTCCATCTCCTTCATCAGCTTGCCAACAAGGTGTCACAGCCGTTTATTCTCCCCCTATAATTGAAACGACACTAAATGTGAATCAGATTCACTCAGCAATGTAATCCAGTCTCTGCTGGAAGCCACTACAGCTTCAGCTTAACACACAGGCCACCATGGTGGTGGCACAGGTAGCCAGCAAGAAAATATGAGGAAGGGAAACAATAAAACCATTGAAAAATGCTTCATATACTCAAAAAATTAATTAATATGACACATTTATAGCTGCAGCCTGATCCTTCTGTTGCGCCCGCCAGCTGTAACCTGGACACGGATGCTTCCAGAAGGTAAGGCAGGGAAAGGGGGAGGAGGCAACCAGCACCAATTAGAAAGCAAAATTCACTCGAGTATAAAGGAGAAACAATCTAAATTTCAGTATAAACTCAATAATCCTTTCACATTACTATCATTACATTTATGAAATTCATCATTGTGGAAATGGAGAGAAAAGGGGAGGAGGTAAGAAAAGGCCTATTTCTAGAAAACTGAAAGACCACCAGGGCTGATGTGGCCACATGCAATTTGATGCTAAGTTACCTGCAGAACAGACGTGCTTGGAAACCCCAGTGTCTTCAGTCCCACAGGCTTGGGGTAGGGTGGGTTGTTTGTATCTGCTGACAGTATGGAGGCTAAGAGTTCCATTACTATATATATTTAATACTAAACTCACAAGAGAAAGATATTTTGTCCTTACACACTATCGTTGTCTCCCCTACCTGCTGCCTTAATGGACCCATAGCTTTAAAATGAACTGGTGCCTTTTAAAGTCTATACTGTACGGTGGGCTGAATGGAAGCAGAGGGGCCAGGTGCTCTGCTGTGCCCCCCATCTCTTTGAGGAGCACAGGAGATGTGCTAGTGCAGATCTACTCTGCTCCTCCCACTCAGGGCACACCCTTCATTTATTTGTTCTGTTGTGTGTTTCCTGGAGCTGTTCTCCAAGCATGGGGTTTGTCCATTCAATACCACAATCCTGGGCATCCACCGTGATGATTCCTTGGGACCCAGGCTACAGAGGACCCCCATGCTCTCGAGGGTGCTTCTGTGTATGGCAGAATCACGTTGTTGGGGAGGTTGGGGATCATTTTGAGACTTGCCAACTCATCGCCTTCATTTTTCTGACCAGCTGTGGGTAAGGCTACTCATATTCCAGGAACTGTTTGTGATAGAACAGTAAGTATCTGCAAAGGTGAAGAGAGAAGCATACTTACATTCAAATTCCTGAGTTACAAGAGAACCACCCTTCCCCAACTGAGAACACAGGTACCGTGGCCTCTACACAGGTGTGTAGTCAGATTTCTTGGTGGGATGGCTTTGGATTTTAGTTCCCAAAACGTGTGGTAAAGCACTCCACTTAATGCCTATGCCACTCCATTCTGTCTGCCCCAGGGCCCTGCCTCCCATATGGTTCTGGAGCCTGGCTTCTTATGTGTTACTGCCACTGCCTTTGGGGGCGGGACTGTTTTTTTGTAGGACTCCCACAGTGGGGTCCAGTCTAAACCCAGCCCCACTCTGGCTTCCTTACTGCCAAGTCTGTCCTCTCAAATACCACTATGCATAATGTTAAAGGGGTGGCCCCATTAAATACAAAGTCCAGATGCCTCAAAGCTCATGGCAGCTCATCCTGGAACTCAAGAACAAGGACTTGGCAAGGCTAAGGAAGAAAGCCAGGAAGGAACAGAATGGGTAAAGGAGAGAAGAGCTTTCACAGAAGAGAGGGGTTCTGTGGTTAATGCAAACCCACTATCTTATCCAGAGCACCCTGGTCTCCTTCCTACCTGACAACTGATGGAGGTTGGTGTGCTGTGCAGACAGGCCTCATTAACTCATTACTTCAGCAACTAGAGGGCAACATCTCCAAATGGTACACTGAAAAAGTGTGCCACTGGATGAGGCTGTAAAAGCAGGAGACAAGTGCCACTTGGACATACCCTTCACTGTCCAGCACGTCCTCGATGCTGGCCTTGGTGATAATGGCATCATCACATTTGAACCACTGGTCCTTGTGCTGCCGGATGAAGCTGGTGTAGTGGCCGCTCTCCAGAGTCCCTTGGTGGTTAACGACTGCAAACAAGGAATACCTAGTTTGGGAGGAAAAGAGTGGGGAGAAAAGCAGAAAGCTCAACTTTTTCACCATCAGAAACCATGCAGTCAGAGCTTGCACAGCGAGGAGTAGCACCGCTGACCCCAGATATAGCACCCTAGGAGTTAAAGCCGACACACAGAGGGCAAAAAGGCCTGCCCACTACTCTGTTTTGAGCTGCATCGCTGTAGTAAGTAGAGTGGTAATGGCAAATGGAGTTGGCAGGGACTGTGGTACCTTTACCCTTTCATCCTCCCTGTCATGATGATGGGGGAAGGATAGTGAGGGAGGGCAAAATGTAGCCAGCGGAGGAGGGATCACACCCCACAAGAGGAGGGAATCTTTATGATGCAGATGTGAAGGTCCTCTCCTAATGTGGGCTAAGTACTTTTAACATAGGTCAATGGACAGCCAGACCGGAAGTCAGTCAGTAATCCAAAGAAGTAAGAGCTCCATCACTGTCACTCATAAACATAGCTGTGTCTCTGAGAAAGGCTATTGGGGGCTCCCCGAAAGTATGCTCCCTCAGCTCACACCTGCAGATGCCACTTACTTGTTGTCATTATTGAGACTATCCGTTGGCTGCTGGTACTGTCCATTCATTCTGCTCTCTTTGCTGTAACTCAAAACAGCAAACTCAGTATCATTTAAAATGAGTCAGAAACACAGGACTTGAAAATTAACATCAATATCATTGGGGGTCTACTATATCAGACCTGTGCTAGAGATGGTTTAGATATGATTTCCAGCTCTTCCAAAGACTCTCCTTTTAAGATAGGTTATCCCTGAGTTGAAGCGGGGAAACTGAGATCAGGCTGGCTAAGTGAACTGCCTTGGCATGAAGCCCGGCCCCTAGTTCTATCTGCTGCCACTCTTGAGGTGTGACCATCCCCAGACCCTTCCAAGGAAGCATGGCCCTGCCAACACCTTGACTTCAGGCTCCTGACTTCTGGAACTATGAGAAACACCTGCTACTCAAAGTCACCAAGCCTATGGTAATGTCACAGCAGCCCTAGGGAATCCTGTGTTTCTACTCCATATGGGAGTCCCATGGTTTTGTGGGAGGGTACATTACAAGTGGTCTATGGCACAAAGATTTGAAAAAGAGAAATGGAATCTTCCACTACAAAATCAATTCAGTTTATCTGTATCTATAATCAATTTCATCAGCTAAAAATGCTGCTCTCTCACCGTGATCCTATCTTGACAGCCTGAAAGTTGACAAATGATTACTAAGGAAAATGCAAAGTTGAAATATATCTGGAGAAAAGCAATTCATTAAACTAAAGTGTGCCTTCACTTTCCAGAAAAGTTTTAGACAGGTCGGGTTACATTAACATTATCACCACCTCCTCAGGGCCCCGTGGCAATCATATACCTAATGGAGCCACATCCCTCACCAGACCCAGCTGACAAGCCTGTACATACCTGGATGCCATGAAGGGGGTCATGTCCAGTTCCAGGGGGAAGGACACATAGGTGGTGATCTTCCGCCTCAGTTTGGCTGAGTGTTCAAATCGCTACAGAAATGGGAAAGATGGAGACAAAAGGGAGAGGGAAAAATGGAAGCTGTAAAGGACTCCCCCTAGTGCTTCTCTGTGCAGTCCCCAAACTGGACTTTTCATTTGTTTTCTGAATTGCCTTTGGCCACACTAGATCTTATAAATTAAATAACATACTATTAATCCACGTAATTCTAACATATGGGGTTCGAGTCATGTCTTGAAATGAGATGAATGTTCAAAGTAATAATCATCAGGGGTACAAAAAAAGTAAACGTGGCACTAGCAAAAGTAAACGTGGTTCCTCTGACCAGACGGTGCATTCCTTTGACTTGATCAGGGCCCACCAAATCCAGCTGCTGAGCTAGGAATGCCTTTTTTTGTTTTTACATTTTTAAAGGATTATACAATAAAACACAGAAGACTATGAAACAGATCATATGTGGCTGCAAAGTTCAAAATATATGCTATCTGAACCCTTACAGGAAAAACCTGCCTGCTGACCCCTGACTAGATCATAATGCTGAGGGTCACTGCTTTTAAAAGTAAAAGAGAAAGAGAAAGCTTGGAGAGGAGGAAGGAGGTAGGAGGAGTCGTGAAACCGTATTAAAAATCTTCCTTCCCAGTGCAGTATGTAACTCACATCCTATTTCATTTGGAAATTACCTTTTATTTACAACAATCCTCTATAGGAAATAGACAGGAAAAGGGTTTATAGCTGATTAGCCTCTTGTCTCTTCAGTGCTTGGTACTGAGCCCACTGCAATTATAAAAGCACTCTACCCAAATCAATAGGCTCTAACCTGTATTAGAGATGCAAAATCGAGTCATAACTGGAGTCTATTTTCTGGAAAACTTACTTTGAGATGAAAACAGGCCACAATGGGCAGCTTCTTCATGGTGAGCTGTTTAGTGGACTCCTGGTAGCTATGACAACCACTACATTTGATCTTGGCACTGCTTCCTAAGTGCTCTGGTCTGGTAAATCTACAAGGTATTCAAAAAGTACGTTTAGGGAAAAAAAATGGAAGAGGTAAAAGGTAAGGAGAGAAAAAGAAACACTTTATTACTTTCTAAGGGTTAATTTCCCTACTAAAAAGCACATAATACAGTTAGGGATGTTTGTAATTTCATAATGAAAGAAATATTTTCTTTTTTTCCTCCCTATCACTTTCAAAACACTTATGTTAATTTTTTTAAAAAATTATTCTTTTTTAAAGATTTTTTTATTTAATCTGCATAAAAGTGGAATGTAGGCCAGAGGTGTAGGGGGTAAGAAGATTCACCAGAGACAGAGTAGGGTACAGAACAGGCAGATCTACTGAAATATACTGTTAAGGGAACAGCGGGCGAGACAGGAGAGGTCTGCTGTGCCATGTGGGTTGGCTCCCTGACTGGAAATTGAACTAAGGATGTCAAGGTAGGCCTTCGAGGCGGTAGCACTGAACGTTAACCCCTAGGCCACCACAGAGGCCCCCTATCTTAAAATTTTTAATGGCAAGTCTGGTAAAATAGTATTAATTTTCTACATACTATAAGACCCATCAATCAAATTTGCCCCAGAAAAATGAAAGCATACATTCACACACAAAGGGCAGAGCAGTACTGTTATTACTTTTACTTATAACAGAAATGTCAACCTGGAGGCAGCCCAGGTGTCCTCACGGATGGGCCAATGGCTGAACACACTGTGGTGCATGGACTCATGGAATACTACTCAGCACTAACAAGGCTATATGATTGACACACACAACCTGGCTGAATCTCCCAAGAATTTATGAGTGACAAAAGCGAATCCCCAAGTTACAGATGACTCCACTCACAGTACATCCCCAAGTTACAGATGACTCCACTCACAGTACTCCACAGATGACTCCACTCACAGTACATTCTTGAAATGTGGGATTTACAGAAATGGAGAACAGCTCTCAGTTGCCAGAGGTGACGGAGTCAGTGGTGGTGGGAGGCAGGTGTGGGGCGATGGGCCTTGTGGGGATGGATGTGCCCCATATCCTGACTGCATGGACATCAATATCCTGGATGTGATACTGATTCATAATTTTACAAGATATCAACTTTGGGGGAAACTGGGTTTATTTCTCACAATGACATGGGAAATGACAACTATCTCAAATTAAAAGCTCAATTAAAAAAAAACGGAAAAGGTAATTTTCTAATGGTAAGGTGTATCGCAATATAGTCAGAAAGATGCCCAGGTAAATTAGTAAATATCTTTGGTATAGATGGTAGCTACCAAAGATAAAAATTCCTAACACAAAAATTCCACTGTAATATATGCAAAATTTTAAGGTTTTAAGGCTAAAAAACCAAAAATTCAATCTTTTCACACATGGGTCTGAAAATCTTTGTTTATCCTTTGGAAATTTTGTCCTTTTGCCTCAGGCAAAATGAACCCCCTTCTGAGCAAAGCTGACACTGCCTGACCTGTGAGAAGCCCAAAAGTGGGAGTGTAAGGACCCAGTGAGCACCTGGAGGAGGAGGAAGGCCGAGCAAGGTTATCTGAGCAAATTCACACAATATGCAAGAATGAACCCATGGATGCAAAACCCAAGTGTGAGGAATTCTCTGGACCAACGGCCTTGTTTTTTCACCACAGAAATGTCAAGGAAAGAAAACGAGGTGGCGAAAGCCTATGGATTTGAAGGAGATTACAAGACCAAGAGATTACAAGACAGACTTATAAGTAAAGGAATTAAGGAAGGAAAATAGAGGCTGACTCATCCCTCCTCAAGCATCTACTGTATCTACCTCCCCTCCCACCACATTTGGAGAATTCCTGAAAGCAAATGGGTTACGCAATACCCCCACCTGAATAAGTTAACCAGAGTCAGTTTCTGTTGTTTAGAACCTTGCAGGAACTCTGATCTGGTAAATGCAGGTAAACACACACTGCACCTATGAGCTGCCTCTCACCACACTATCTGGAGCTATCAGTGTAATAAAATTCCTGTATTTTAAAATTCTAAACATGAACTTTTGAGCCTGCTGACCACATTAAGATAAAAAGATGGACTACACTTCCAGCCAACAAGGACTTACCTGCAGTGACCTCTATTTAGTATGAATGAAAGAAAACAAAGGTGGCAAAAACACTAAGCTTAATTAAAATCAAATTTAGGAAGGGTCTCTGGTTGCTCCATAGTGGTATGTAATAGCTACTCAAATGCGTCTTGTAGCACTTACACCCAAACCTCATTACTTGTTAAATTGATCCTGTAGTTGGACAGCTAAAAGTGCAAAACTCCAGATTTTCACATCACCCACAGAAAAGGCCATGCCCCATGGGAAAGGCAGTCCTCAGGGCATACTCTATTGTACGTATAGCCACAAAAGGTGAGCAATTTCTAAGTTTTGCTTTCTGGGTCTCTGCTGGTTTATGGGGGGTTGGGTGCAGAAGAGAAATAGCCAGCTGTCTCACAAAACTGACAAATCAGTATGAGCAACTGGGCACCAGTATGGCCATCTTTCCCTATCTTTTCTCATACTCTACACTGGACATGTGAAAGGAAATGTTGCTGGGCCCGTGGGTGGACCTAAATTTATTGGGGCTTTACTCTAACCAAATACTTCTCTGAACAATCTCAAGGCAAAGAGAGTAAATGCCTACAAGGAAGGGCCTTTTTCCCAGACAGGTTTCTTACCTTCGCAAGCAGTCCGTGAGTGTGGTGGTTCCCGACATATGGCTTTCCCCGTTCACCACGCTGCTCTCGCTCCCTGGGCTCAGGGGCCAGAAAGGGGTGGAAGAGCCAGGCAGATCCAAACTGATATCCCAAAAGGGGTCTATTGTGGTGGAGACACCACTAAAAGAAAAAGACAGAAACACACCTGAGAATAGACATCCACAGACAGGGCTACAGGCACCACCGGTAGGGTGCTTCTCAGCATCTTTCACAGCTCTGTACTTTGTCCAAATGACATCTCAGGTCAGGAAAAGCTGAGCTCACGCCCTTCATGGTCCCATGGAGGACAGTGTGTGAACCACTCACAGCCAAGGTTTTTGTAAAACAATGAATGCCCAGACCTAAAGATCATCATGATCATTTTAGGGTATTTGGAAAAATTTAAATTCCTGGCCCCATGTCCAGAGGTTCTGAATTGAAGTATCCATTTCGGCAGCATCTTGAACTACAGACTGTCAGCCTGGGAACTGCTACCCTAGGTAACAGCTGTAGTTGCAAGGCACCTCCCAGCCATAGCTGCTGCAGTTTGTGCTCTAGCTGACAAAGCCAGTTCCCTCCTAGAGATTTATTTTAAAATACACAAAAAGAAAATGCAGGGCCTCCCCGGTGGCGCAGTGGTTGAGCGCTGGGTTGCAAAGCTTCCCGCAGCCTCTGCAGCGCCGGTTTGATCCCCGGCTGTTCCCCGGCCACCAGAGGAGGGTCCCACATGGCGCGCAGACCTCTCCTGCCGCCCGCTGCTCCCCTCAGCAGTGTACTTCGGTCCTTCTGCCTGCTCTGCTCCCCGCTCTGGCTCTGGTGAATTCTCTCACCCTCCCGCGCTTCTGACTGTACCCAGTGCATGTATAAACAAACAAACAAGTAAATAAATAAAACATGCCTCTATTAAAAAAAAAAAAAAAAAGAAAATGCAGGTTGGAAAATCTACCAGATATGAAATAGGACATAAGCCCCAGATAATATCCTGTGGATGGAATTCAGTCTGTAAGGCCATAATTATGAGTCTGAGCTGCCCAGAAGGACACCACCACATAGCCCATGATGGTCTATATTACTTAACAGGATTTGCTTTTATTTTTAACATTCACAGGCAAAACTTTTTCAAATGTGTGATCTATCCTACACAAATGCAAGTGGTAATTCACCATAGTTTATGAGATCATCTTTGTGGATCATGACTGGGTTCAAAAAAAAAAAAATGAAACCACAGAAAACATCAGTGTGCACGAGGTAGACTGGGAGGGCTCAGCTAACTTCACCATCAGTGCTTCTCCCTCCTGGAGCTGAAAGCTTTGTGCGCCAAGCTGAGAAACTATACCTGTAAATAGTTAAGGACACTAGCTCAGAGGCATATAAAAAGAAAACATGAAATAATTAAAATTAAGACATTTTGGAGCACATGTCGAAAATCTGCCATCTGAGATCCATTCCTTCTCCTAGGAGGACTCTTCTATGTGATTCCCGGTGTCAAGCACCCTAAGGAAAGCAGAGCGATGGGAGGAAAGCTTCAAAGCACACACTCCTGGGCATGGGCAGTAACAAGGAAGCCTCACATGAAGGGCTGCAAGCCTGTGGGACACCGTCCTGACAACCTTCAGCACACAGGGGATCTGCAGTTTTTCCATTGTCTTTCCTACATGCACTATTTTATCTCAATATATGCCAAGGCTTCAAACAGCATTTCTGCTTCTCATCTAGTTGCTGTGGCAAAGGATCCACAGCAGCAGCCAAATATCCTGCTGACACATAACTAAGGGCACAACTGGGGAGGTACCAAGTAAACATTAGAATAAAGAATCTTAAGGCTGGGCCTCCCACATGGTGCCAAGGGTTAAGTCACTGCACTATGAAGCTATCTGTAGCCACTGCAGCACAAGTTCGATCCCTGGCCAGGGAGCTGACCCACATGGCGCAGCAGACCTCTCCAGTCTCGCCCGCTGCTCCCTTCAGCAGTGTATTGCAGTTGATCTGCCTGTTCTGTTCCCCACTCTGTCTCTGGTGAATCCTCCTACCACTCGCACCTCTGGCCTGTACCCCAGTTCTTTTATGTGTAAATAAATCTTTAAAAAAAAAAAATGTGAAAGATGTAAACTTGCCAGAATACAAGCGTTTTGCTAACTGAAAATGAACTATGCTGGTCAATAAGCAGCACCCAAAGTGAAGTCATTCTGATAGGAACTAGGTCCTGGTCAGCACAGATCCCAAAAGAATACTGGGGTGCCAGGCGGGCACCTGGCACTTACTGGCAGACTTGGCAGGTGACATCAGACTGCAGCCCACCCGTGAATATCTGGTCTATGATGCAGTTGCAGTGATTGGGGTTGTTGGCCTTCTTCCCATTATCATCACCTGGAGAAAGAGCACAGGTCTGTGACTAACATCTGCAGCCCCAAGTCAGCAGGTTTCCAAGAGCCAGAGACTCAGGAATGTGGCCGTCCATGCCAGAGCCACAACCAAGGCAGATGTGCCAATTATTTCCAAGGGCACACGAAAACACTTATTCAGAGATGAGCTGGGCAAACGGGGCATGACTCAGATAGCTGTTTTTAATTTTCTTCTTTTTCTCCATTTCTTAAGCTCTCCTTAGCTTCTATCTTGGCACCAAAATGTATCAAAAGCCCAATAACTGGGGCAAGTTATTGATTTCCTTTTCATGTACAAAGTGAATTTTTCCAGAGAGGTAGTGGCCCAACATACTGTAGATCAAATCCTCTTAGGGGAGCCCCTATTCCCTAAGCTGGTTGCAAACACGAGTCCTCTCTTCAGAAAGGTCACTGCAGGACTCTCAACTCAGCCTGTTTACCTCATCAGCCCCTAGTTCTGGAACTTCAGGAACATTATATCTTCCAGTCAGTTGTAACTAGAGAAGTGCCACTGCCCACCTCCCTATTTCAATACAAATCTTAGTTATATAAGAGTGTGGGCACATAAACATAAAACTTACGGGATGGAATGTAATGTTCTATTTACATTCTTAGTAACTTTCATTGAACTAGTCAATGGGGATAGTGTGTATCCTTCTTGCATAAATTAAAACATTACAGTGAAATAAAAGATGGCTGTTAGATTTTGACAGCAGTTGCCCTAGAAATTAGGGGGAAAAAACACTACCCAGAGTGAGCTCAAATTCATGGAACAAAATGTTAGTATATGGGAATATACAGGAAACCCAAAAGATACCTGAAGGTCACCACCACATAAAAAAGCAACACTCAATCAAGCACACCCTGGGCCTGGCTGACCCATCTCCCACAGTGCCTGAACTATTTGCTGATGAATCTAGAGAATTTTAATGATTGTCTTTCCTCCTCTTTTATTTATTTACTTGCTTATTTATGTATTTAAATTATAATTTCAGAATTATATTGAACTTGTTTCTAATAAGAGGCTTATGTTTCAAATGGAATGATGTCAGAAAAGTAGACCAAAGTGGTTTCAATTTTGGTATGAACTTAAGTTTAACAGTAATCCATTTTCAGCTTCTGGTTACAGAAGTCTCCTAATTCTCAAATGCTCAGAATAATTTAATAATCTCTCACAGTGGCTCATTTCTGTTTGTATGTTATGCTTTATGCTGGGAAACCAAACTTTACCTAAGCTGTTAAGCTACTCTGATTTGATTCTTAGGATATTCATAGGATCATCTATGTTTCCAGCAAAAATAATCTAAGTACAAAAAAAAAGCTAGAACCTAAAGCCATGACGTTGATCAGAACAAGCTGCCTAATTTCAAGTTTGGCTCATGCCTGAGATGTAATTCCAGATTCCACAGGGTACCTCTGAAAGCAGCCCAACTACCCAAGAGGCTGAGAAGGAGCTAAAGGCTAGTCACCTGGAAAGATAATGTTCCCTGAAGAGAAAATCAGCCAGAAGGACATCAGCACAGAAGTCAGAGGTGAGGGGGGGACTTGCCACCCTGGCACACTTGAGTCACACTGACCAGCACTCCTAAACCAGCAGCAGCAGCATCACCAAGCCTGGCAGGAATGAAGCCTGCTAGACTTCATCCCAGACCCACAGGACAGAAACACTAGCAATGGACTTAAGAAGCCCCGAGGGTGACTGACCCGAAGTTTGAGGGACACCCCTTAGCTGACAACCTGTATATGTTACTTCAGCATAGGGCCTTCAAACTGGGGGGCTTGCAGGGGGGAGACAGGGGAAGAACCCACCAAAACTTTTTTTCAGGCCCAATCTCCCATTTCTAACCCTCAGAGCTGCTGCATGCGCTCCACACCTCCCCCCCAAACCCCAAAACTATCACACATCTGAGAACCCTGGTGAGGGCACCAGGATGCAAGACCACACTACAGAAGAGCCAAGTTGCAGTGAGAATCTTACATTTTAAAATGAAGCTGCAGCCAGAAATGAACCTGGGAAGGAGCAGCAAGTGTACAAGTTGAGTTTTGCACTCTTAGCTCTTTGGCTGCTTTACTTCAGTGGCCCTTTCGGGGGCTCCACAAGGGAAAAAAGATGGTTCGATGGTTAAGTTGTATGTGTCCAGAAGCTTCTGGGCTCCACAAGCCATGACAACACAGTGGGACATCAAATTAGCTCCCTCATAGGTCAAACCAAGAAGAACCCAGGAGGATAGGACTCAAGGTGAAGGCTTGTCAAGAACTAAGAACTAACGGTTCCTGCTCTGAGCTACAGAAGAGCCAGTGCCACGCCATGCCACCTCGCAAGGTCAGGACACCCAGCAATGTTTCCTCCTGGTTGAAAAGCAAAATACAAAGAACCTCTTTGAGGTACTTATGGTGTTTTCCTTATTGGGGGAAAATATGATACACTGATGAAATCTAACAGGTCACACCCACTCTATTGGCAAGAACACGCATTGCCCTGACCCCACACCCTCGGGAGGAACAAAGGTGCGGCCGCACCTTTGCAGTGCCGGTGCAACACATCCAATGCAGCGATGAGGAACTCGTGGGCGTCCTGCTGCTCGTACCCCGCCAGGTGACGGGCATGTGTCCACACCAGGTGTAGCAGCTTGTACGGAATGTGGGGGGACCGGTGCCCAGAGTAAAACTGTTCAGAGAGAAGGGAAAGGAAAATGCCCATCAGCAATAAATACTACACTCTGAACACAAAGCACACGCACACACAGATACTGAACAGCTACCAAGAATTTCTTATGGGTAGTTTGACCAGAATAACTCAATTTTACTCAATTTTTGTGGGCAAGCAATATTTTTATTTGCACTCGCTGCACTTATTGAGGCTGCGCGTAATTTTCTCCCTTCCTGCCATTTAGTTGCTACAGATTATGCCTGATTGATGAATCATGACATGCAAGTTTGCCAAAACAAATGTATACACTCAAAGGTGAATTTACTGTTTCTAAATTATACATTAACAAACTTGAGCCTAAAAGCATTTATCTCCCAATAGAGCCGGGAAAATACATGTGTGTGTGCACACCTACCTTCCTATTTTGGTCTATCCATTTCCCATTTTGGTGCACTTGCTGCTGTAACTTAGCAGTTATTGGCAGGGTATAGGTACTTAGGAAACGGGTTAGGCTAGACCAAAAAGACGTTGGCACACTTTTTCTGAAATATACTGTGACACCCCTCTGCCACTGTTGGGCCCAACACACAGGTGAGTGGTGAGCCTATGTTACAGCAAAGGTTATGACAGAAACAGGAGGCCAGGTCTGTTGGTACATTGACACGTAAAGGGAACCCAGATCCTGTCAGCAGCCTAAGGGCAGGAACAACCCTGGTTTTTAGTTGGGAGTCCAAGCCACTTTAGCTGAGAGCCTTTCTGAAGTCACTGATCTGAAAGCACCTTGGGCCCAGGCCTGAGCAATGAGGGAAGCACTGTTGGGGGACACATAAGGACAGGCACAACCTGAGTATACCCTATGGTCCCTCAGAGGAACAGACCTGATATTTAAGGCAGAGGTTCAGAAAGACAGAGCCCTTCCAGTGAAGCACATGAGAAGGTGTGGCCATAGAAGACCTCACTCTGCTTGAGAACAGAGCAGGAAGGGGCACATGCACCCCTACATGCCTTACTAGGATCAGGAAGGCAGACATGGAGGTGAAGGTGAAATCACCAAGTGTATAATACAGAGACAAATGCCACCCACCTGTTACACCCCTCAAAGGGTTCCTTCTCACCCCTTAAGCCAGCAGTGTGCCTCTAAAACTGATGTGGTTACCTAACAATTCCTTTTGGGGGAAAAAAATGTGTCTCTTCCATAATAAATGCACACACTAAATATTTACATAGAAGATTTTAGAAATGTGCCCTCCTTTATTATGGTCAATCTTTTTTTTTTTTTTTTATGAGGGTAGGACGTGGAGGAAGAAGTCATAACAAAAGTCAACCAACTCACCTCCTGGAACAGCGAGGACATCTCACAGACCAGACAGGAGCTGGGGCTCTGCATCTCACACCTGTGCCTGTCCGAGAGGAAGAAGTCCCGCAGCAGAGGTGTATGGGTCAGAGCCTGCACGATACAGTTCATGAAGCATGTGTTTCCCAGGTTGATCAGCCCACGCAGACCTGGGACAGGAAGCAGACAGGAGAGTGGGCATGGCTGGCACACTAGCACCTGAGCAACTCTGAAACCAAAGGCACTGCAGGCTTCTTTATATCTACTTTGTTCATTTTTTTTACTCATTCATTCAAGAAGAGCAAGAAACGTAATGGTAATAGCTGTCTGACCTTTCTGCCACTGTTCGTTTTTTTAAAAAGAATTATTTATTTATGCATACAAGAACTGGGGTATAGGCCAGAGGTGCGGGAGGTGAGAGGATTCACCAGAGACAGAGTGGGGAGCAGGCAAACTGACTGAAATACACTGCTGAGGGGAGCAGCAGGTGAGACAGGAGAGGTCTGCTGCACATGTGGGTAGCTCCCTGGGTGGCCGGGGATTGAATTCCCCTTGTGCGACCAGGGAGGTGTGGGGGATAAAAGGACCCACTAGAGACAGAGTGGGGAACAGAACAGGCAGACTGACTGAAATACACTGCTGAGGGAAGCAGCGGGCAAGTCAGGAGAGGTCTGCTGTGCCATGTGGGTTGCACCCTGGCCGGGTATTGAACTCGTGCTGCAGTGACTGAGGACACCCTCATAGGTTGCTTCTTAACCCCTTGCACCACCAGGGAGGCCCCCTCTGCCATTGTCATATGAACCTTACAGAGTAACTGTCACCACCCTCTTTCTCTCTCTCTCTCTCTCCAGCCATTACATGCTTTCACAGACTCATTCAAAGGTATTCTACAACTGGCCAGGTCAAAATGGAGCCTCTCCGTTTTACACATTTCTAAAATATATAAATGTAGTCAAGTCAGAAAACACTAACACACTTTTCTCCCTGAATGGCTGCATGCCGCCTTAACCTGGCCAGAGTACACTTGAATCTTTTTACAAGAGTAGACTCTGAGGATCATGAGGCAGGGCCATGGCCATTCTCCCAATCACTGCCCCCAAGCCTGCTGCAGAAAACAGGTACTCAAGAAGTGGGTGGTGAGCAAATTGATGAAGGACAGACATTCAGTGCTTAAAGAGAATTGTGTTATGAAACCCACATAAGAAATAAGTAGTAAGTGAGAAATAAGTTAGTCTAATCAGACGAACATTCAAGCATGGCCTCCACCTACCGATGGTGCAGTTAGAGGTGATCTTTCGCCTTTTTGGGTTGTGTTTCAGCAGTTCAAGCTCCCGTTTGGTTGGTTCCCAAGTTGAAAACTTCTCTCCAACACCTAAGCAGATGAAGGACAGTCAGGTACCATTAGCTACATTTTTATCAAGAGTATTGTTAAGTAAAAACTGATAGTGATACACTATTTGTGAGGTTATATTTCAAAGAGAACATTAAACATGAAGTCTTCTAAAACCCAACAAGACCAGGGAGGGCTAAGAGAACACATAAAGGGTTTTCTTTTGGAGAATGTTCTGTGCATGAGCTATGCTTCCTGCAAGGAAAGCAATACCTCTAATTAAAGCTATGCTAATACTAATGATAGTCTTATCATATTAGGTTGTTTTTCAGAGACTCTTGCCTTGAATATAGAGAGACAGTAACCTCAGCGCCAATGGGAAGTACCTCCAATAAGTGAGTGAAACTGAGAGAAGATAAATATTTTTAAATATATATCTTCTTGAACATCTGCACCCACAAAAGATTTAAAAGAAAGACAGTAAAGGTGTAAATACTAAGAATTACCTTTTATCCCAATACACACCCTACTCACTCAGAGGCACTGGTTTTACGCCACCTAAAATTTCTGCATAATTCAATACACTTAAAAGAGAGCATATCACCAATAGACAGACTTTCTGAAATGACCTTAGGAGAGTTCCATTTTATTCCATGACATGCATCACTTAGCCCTGTGGCTTAAGTATTTTGCACCAAGAAATAATGACTTAGTTACAATGTTATTAGATTTTTGAGAGAAAGAATAAAAAGCTAAAGAGACTGTTCTCTGGGAGAAGGTTTATTAAATATAAAATCATTCTGATTAGAGAGTCCTTATTTCTATTACTTCATTCTCAAACAATGAGTGGTTTTTAAAGCAGTACTTCAGGCAAGAATGTATAAAACATGCTGGGTTTACATTTCTTTGAAAACAGTGATTCTGTTAGCTTGGCAGAGCCCTTCATAGTACCTGCAGACATATGGGGTTCCCTGGAGCTCATATGGTAGCCTGGGCAGAGTCACTCAGGATGCTGTGGACATGCTAGTGGCAGCCAGTCACCTCACCTGGCTCCACTAGACCACAGGAGGGATGGAGGAGGTATGGGGGCACCTTCTACCAACTGGAACCCAATCTGCAAAAACCCAGCTGCTATCTCCCTGGATATTTTCTTTCTCTTGGTGAATTTTGTCCTTGACAGACTAGAGGGAAGTGAGAGAGCAATCACGTGTGTAAAAGTAGGTAAAAACAAACCTTGCATTTTCCAAGCTTTCCGCTGTTCTTCTTTGGCAATTATCTCTATGTCTTTGTCATATATATAGTCCTGACACAAAAAGCAGTAGATACCTCCATACATAAGCTCTATGGCTGAAGAGAGAAAGGAAGGCAGTCAAAATTTAATTAAAAATGGGAAGATGTTGGGCCTCCCCTGGTGGCACAGCGGTTGAGCGCTGGGCTGCGAGGCTGCCTGTAGCCTCTGCAGCGCTGGTTCGTTCCCCAGCTGCCGGCGAGGGTCCCACAAAAAAAAAAAAAAAAAGAAAGAAAGAAAAGGTGTTGGGCCTCCCTAGTGGCCTAGGGGTTAAGTCTCAGCGCTATCACCACTATGGCCTGAGTTTGAGGCCAGCCGGGGAGCTAACCCACATATGGCGCAGCAGATCTCTCCTGTCTCGCCCACTGCTCTCCTTAACAATGTACTTCAGTAAATCCACCTGTTCTTCTCCCCACACTGTCTCTGGTGAATCCGTTCAACCCCCGCACCTCTGGCCTACTGTCCAGTTCTCCCACAAAATAAATATTTTTCAAAAAGTTACATCACCTTAAAATAGAACTTAACACAATTGAAGATGTAAATAAAAGGTTTTGAGAAATGAGATTGTTTGCACCATGTCCCACTCTGAAATCACAGAGCACCACTATTACAAAGGGATTTCTTTCCACTGCAGATAGTTTATCCAAAGCAGATGAGATAGGTGTATTTTTTTTTTTTTTGAAAGCTCCCACCAAGGGTCGAGGAACCTAGAAAGCAGTGCTACACTGGTATTTCACAGCTCAGTTTATTGCTTGTTTTCCCTGTGGAGTTTTATAAGGAGGTCACATATTATTTTAGATAAAAGAAGTGGATTTTTTTGAAGAGTGGAACTGCAAATCAAAATTCAAAGAGCAGAAAGTGGGGGCAATGACTTCCTAATATCCAGCAGGACAGCTCAGGAGGGTGCCTTACCCAGATTGTGCCGTTTCGACTTCGCATGTTCGTGAATATGTTTCTTTGTGAAACAGCCAAAGAAAACACAGTGGAGGCAAGAGTGGAGCCTGTTCAGGTGGACGCCACAAACATGACAGACGCAGGATTTTGCCTGCAATTCAAAGAAGAAAATTAAACAGCAGCACATGTTTTGCCAGTGCTCAGAGAAAACTGTTCCAGTGGAGTTCCACGATGGTTACCGTTATGAGAAAAGGGAAGCATGGATTTTGTCTCTAAGTCTTACCATACCAAAAGGTCATTTTGTTAATGCTTTCAATCATCCCAAAAGATACTGACTTCACCTGGCTCAAAGCTAGCTCCATAGAGGAAAACTCTATCTACAACCACAAATTAAGTTAATAAAATAAAATCCATGAACTGCTGTGATGTTTACTCTGGTTCTCGTCAGAGTTCCAGTAGATGTCCCAACTCCCAGCTCCTGCCCCAGTCCAAGCCAGCAACTCACAACCTTGGCACCCTTAACAAGGCATCACTTCAAGTAAACTCAGAAGCAATAAATAAGTGGAACGACTCAAAGCAATATACAAGAATAAGAAAAATGAACATTTATGGCCAAGAACCAGAACCTACAAGAACATTTATGACCAAGAACAGAAACCTACAATTGTAAATGCAGCACAGCGGGATGTAGTATTCACACACCCAACCCAAGCGATAACCTACTGTGTTCCAGCACAGTATGCCATTCACTCTTGTGTTAAGTCCCTCAGGCAATCAGACTGGACTCTCTGGGATGATACCACAGTATGTAATTTGCTTTTTTTGATGGGGAGGGAGGCAGATGGGGGAGATGGTGGAAAATAAGAGTACAGGGGTTACAACAGAAAAAGTCTCAAAAAACAAAGGCTGGCAACACGAATATTATGTACTATGAATGTGCTGAATGTATACTGGACACTGGTACTGGGGCTTTCAACCAATTTATCACATTCAGTCCTTACACTCATCCCATGAAGGTTTCGCGCTCTTCTGATGTATGAAGAAAGAGTACAGACAATTGTGACCCCACAGCCAGGAAGGACACAGCTAGAAGGGGTCCTATGGACCCCAAAGGCCCACATCTCCCACTTTTATCAGAAGCAGCCCCTTCTGAACTCTGCACATGTCACAATATCAGGGCAAGTGCCAAGCCTGGCTGGGACCGTTGAATATCCACGTAGAAGGGAGGGTACAGGGAGGGCAGGGCCTGAGACTGGCCTTGAAACTCTATTTATTAATACATAAACATCAATCATGGACTTTACTGAGATGGTAGCTACTTTAAGGAACGCTGCATGGGGATGTGAGTAACATCTTCAGCCACTTTAGAAGAGGCAGAGTTGACAAAAGATGAGTTGGGCATGAAGATGAAAGCCTGTGGCTGAAGAACTAGGACAGGAGAAAATTAGGCAATCTAGAACCATACACATTCTGTGAGGAGATTACAGATGCTCTGTGACAGCGGGCTCTCATGTGCAGGCCCAAGCTGGCACCTATGAGAATTTGCAAACTCCCCAGTGACAAAGGGTTTAAGCAGTCCTGCAGATCCCAGGGCTCTGGTTCCAGAATCACAGCCTTACAAGAACCTGCACACTGAGGTTGGTCATCTTTCAATTCCATGTACAATTTTATCTCTACTCAAAATTCCAATCAGACCTTTAAAAATGTTTTCTTCCTGATTAAACAATTATTCCCAATGGTTAGACTACTTTAAAAAAAAAAAAAAGCAATTTGAAGCGTTTATTTTAATCCCAATGGAGGGATTTTCAACAGTAGCACAATGGTCATCTGGGACTGATAATTCTGTATGTGTGTCTGTCTCTGTGTGTGTGTGGGGGGCAGAGCGGAGAGGGAGAGAGACAGAGAGAACCAACAAGGGCACTGGCTTTCTGTACATTGCAGAATGTTGAGCAGCACCCCTCCTCTCCCTACCAGAACCCCCTCCCAGTTGAGAATCACCGCTCTCAGGCAACGGCACAGGAGGCAGAGGCTTATTTTACAGACTTTTCTAAAATAGTTGTACTATCTAGTCTCCCAATGATAAACCAAGAATTAACTATAATTGCTCTCAGTAATACAGGGGAAATTTACGTTACACATGTAGATATAGCTGATGTATAATAAATGACACTTAAAAAAAAGATTTATTTATTTATGCATACAAAAGCTGGGGTGCAGGCCAGAGATGCGGGGGCTGAGAGGATTCACCAGTGACAGAGTGGGAAGAGAACAGGCAAACTGACTGAAATACACTGCTGAGGGAAGCAGTGGACGAGACAGAAGATGTCTGCCTCGCCATGTGGGTTGCTCCTTGGCCGGCTGGGGATCGAACTCACGCTGCTGAGGCGGTGGATTGCTTCATAGTGCGGTGCTTTAACCCCTTGCACTACCCGGGAGGCCTAATAAATGACACTTTCAAGTATCATGGAAAATTTCCCTAGCTACAGATTTCTGAAGATTCTTAGTTACAACCACAAGCTAGAATCTATTTACTGTTCATCACATATACAGATGTAAAGAATGGAAAAGTTTAAGAGATGTTCTTTCTTTTACCACTCAAATATTTTAAAGGCATGATTATGATTTTCAAAAAAAAAAATCCTGTTGAGGGCTTCCCCGGTGGCGCAGAGGTTGAGCGCTGGGCTGCGAATCTGCCCACAGCCTCTGCAGCACTGGTTCGATCCTCGGCCACCGGGCGAGGGTCCCACATGGCGCGCAGACCTCTCCTGCCGCCCACTGCTCCCCTCAGCAGTGTATTTCATCACTCAGCCTGTTCTGCTCCCTGCTCTGGCTCTGGTGAATTCTCTCACCCTCCCGCGCTTCTGACACTACCCAGTGCTTGTATAAATAAATAGATAAATAAATAAATAAATCTTAAAAAAAAAAATCCTGTTGAGCTTACTAAACAATTAATCTAATTACATTTATGTAACAAGAAACTATCAAGACAAACAATACTCTGAAAATATAAAGTGATCAGGGTAAGTACAAAATTTCAGCACTTAATATGGTTTTTCCCCCTGTACAATACACAAATGTTTAAAAATCATTAAAAGTAAGCCCTGTAATTTAAATCTGAAACTATCACCTGTTCTTTTATAGAACTTGATGTAAGAAAAATATTCTGCCTAAAGAAAAATGTCTCAAGGATTCTGATGCAGAAAAAGGAACTGTAACAATTAAGTAGAGGCAGGACAGCTACAATTACAATCACAGAAATTTACCACTTCCTGATACTATCAGGTTGAGAAGAAAGTCTCAAATACAAGTACATGCACACACATATTCACTATTCAACTGCATCTCTAAACTCCATGCTCAGTATTTATTTTAAGGCAGTGAATCAGATTTCATAACTGGGGCTCCCCAACATGCAGTCTCAAGCACCCCAGTGATGTATATGTCACAAAAGTGACATACATACATAAACATCAGTGATTTGCCACATATCCCAGGCATGAACAATTCTGGGCCATTCTAGCTCAATTTGGGCATGAAAATGTATAAGAGTAGATTACTGGGCATCCCTGGTGGTGCAAGGGTTAAAATCTCAGGGCTATCAAGCTATCCCAAGCCACTGCTCAGCATGAGTTTAATCCCCAGGCAGGGAGCTAACCCACATGGCACAGCACACCTCTCAGGTCTTGCCAGCTGCTCCCCTCAGCAGTGTATTTCAGTAAATCTGCCTGTTCTGTTTCCCACTCTGTATCTGCACTTCTGGCCTACACCCCAGTTCTTATATGCATAAATAAATCTTTTTTTTAAAAAAAGAGTAGGCTACTATACATCAGATAAAAGAACATACACATACTCACTAGTCTTCTTCACAAAAGAAGTTCATCTTTTAAATGTAAGGAAAAGCCCAAATAATTTCAAAATCATTATAGTGACAATTTATTCAGGCAAGAATCACCCATGGATACTAAAACCATGGGCCAAAAAAACAAACAAACAAACAAACAAAAAAACCCTGAGTAATATATAACAATGAAAAAATGGAAACAATCCAAATATCCACCAACGAATGAACCAGATACGCAAGTGTGGTGTATCGGCCATGGAATATCATGCTGTTATAAAAGGAATCAAGTACTGACACAGACTACAGCACAGATGAACCTTGAAAACATGCTGGGAGAAGCTGCACACCAAGATTTAGTGAATATTATGAAATATTCTAATATGAAATATTCATTATAGGTATATCTACAGATAATACAAATCGAAGAAGTTGCCAGGGACTGAAGAGAAAGACAATGGAGAGCAGATGAAAATTACTTGAAATTTGATAGAGGTGGGATTTTTTTTTTTTTCATGGGACCCTCCCGAACCAGCGCTGCAGAGGCTGCGGACAGCCTCGCAGCCCAGCACTCAACTGCTGCGCCACCAAGAGAGGCCATAGAGGTGGGATATTAACTGTATAGTCAAAATTGTCTAGAGTGGTTAATTTTATGTTAAGTGAATTTCACCTCAATAACACAATTTTAAATAAACTGGATATTTAATGTTAAAATAGCCTGAGACTACTTTTTTAAATCATAAGTGAAAAAGGTAGGCCTCCCTGGTGGCGCAAGGGGTTAAGCACCGCACCATGAGGCAATCCGCAGCCTCTGCAGGATGAGTTCAATCCCCTTCAATCCCAGGGAGCAACCCACATGACGCAGCAGACCTCTCCTGGCTCTCCCGCTGCTCCCTCAGCAGTGTATTTCAGTCAGTCTGCCTGTTCTGTTCCCCACTCTGTCTATGGTGAATCCTTTCACACCACTTCCCATCTACCCCGCATCTCTGGCCTGCATCCCAGCTCTTGTATGCATAAATAAATATTTTTTTTTTAAAAAGTGAAAAGGTAACTTTTACGGCAGAGAACTCTGATCAAGAACAGCTTAGCCAAGCATACCCAAATGGAAAAACTGATGAATTTAGATAGCAGTATATGATACTCATTTTCTTCTTACAGTGGTGACCATTATTTTTATTTATTTATTTATTTATTTATTTATTTATTTATTTATTTATTTATTTATTTGTACAAGCACTGGGCACAGTCAGAAGCGGAGGAAGGCGAGAGAATTCACCAGAGCCAGAGTGGGGAACGGAACAGGCAGACCGATGAAACACACCGCTGAGGGGAGCAGTGGGCGCGGCAGGAGATGTCTGTTGTGCCATGTGGGACCCTCACCGGTGGCTGGGGATCAAACCGGTGCTGCAGAGGCTTCTGGCAGCTTTGCAGCCCAGTGCTCAACCACTGCGCCACCAGGGGAGGTCCTGGTGACCATTATTTTTAAGTAAATAAGATATTCTGAAAATGGAGTAGAGCTCATTGGATCCAAGGGTTTGGTTAGGGTAGAGGTGAGCAAAGTACAAAGGATTATTTTGGGGTAAACTCTCTCCCAATTCCCTACTTTCCTCTATAAAAGCAACCCCCTCTAGCTTGTATTCTGAATTTGCCTATGGTTCACCACAGCGTTCATTTCCCTAATTGCAATTCCTCTGGTGATTCCCCAATAAACTCAGAATAAATTCATTCTACTCGTAAAATAATGGCTACTTTGATTTAAAGTTCATAGTTCATAGTATCAATATTGATGATTACACCATAGATGTTTTCAAAAGGGGTAAGAGAGTATTATTCTTACAAGTTTTTATGTCTAAAGCTATTTTAATATAAATTTGCATAGAACTAAACACACACATGCACGAGTACAAGTAAAACAAGAAATCTGAATAAGACAGGTGGATTGCATCAAAGATGGAATGTACCCTGGTTCTCTTTGTATTATATTTTATAACTGCATATCAACCTATAGTTATTTTAAAATTGAAACTTTACAATTAAAAACTTTTCCCATTTTAAACCTTTCATTTGAAAAGGCCTGTTAGGACTGTTCCTTACTTTGTATGAATGATGTAGTATTTTGTTTTAATTATTTGAAAGATTCCTCAATTAAATGAAACAAAATATTAACCCCTCAAAGGAAAAAAATTTTGGAAAAGAAATAAGTTTACTTTAAAAAAGGACATATCCCCAAAATAAACAAAATGGAAGTTAGGGTGTTATTACTTTAAATTTTTATAATTTACATTCAGTTTTTAAACTTTTCTTCTTTCAGCAACCTCCTGTACATAAAATCGCACTTTCTAAATGTACCACAGGTTTGATGTCAAATACATAAATCACATTTCAATCCTTCAGCAAACCAAACAGATGTACAGTGAAAACTATCTTGCCTAAGATTATTCATCTTTTAAACTATTACCAAGTTTAAATTTTACAAATTCTAAATTAAGTCCTCCAAATTGAAACCTTGTTAAAAAGGAAAATACAAACTGCTATTTCTATTCAGTGGACTATTAATTGCAGAGCTAAGAGATGAAATCCATATGAGTAGGCAACAAGTGAAAACAATATAAATAGCAAGAACATGTACATAGACAGAAACAAAAATATTTAACTTTGATTTATATGTATACATGCATTTCAACTTTAAAAAAATCTAGAAGACCCAGGTAGCAAAAAGATCTTAACAGTGATTACCTGAGACCAGGGAAAGTTCACTTGTCTGTTCCCTAAACCTTTAAGGTGTTCCATTTTTACACACAGAGAACATACTCATATTATCACTTCTGTAATTATTTTTGAAAACTATATGGATTCACAAATCTCAAGCTTTATCCAGTAAAACTTACCAATTTCAGCCCCTAAATTACTTATGTATTCCTTTACATGTGCTTACCCTACATAGGGATATATCCTATGTAGGGATTTCTACAGATTATCTACAAATACTCTGAATTTTAAGGCAGCTATTATCTTGACACCTGCTATTCAAATGGCCCTCTGACAATTAAGATTTCAATTACTAGAGACAGAAACTAAGGAGTAAGAGTTGATCCTGGACTGAATGTAACGTTCAAAAGGATGAAATTATTCTACTTTAAGGCTGTGCCTTAGAAATCTTTGAAAGCAGTTTCCAATCCTCCAGCTTATTGCTTAAATTAAACCATAATCATTAATGGTCCAAAATTACTAACAGTGTTTAAAAACTCAATCACTGTGGTAAAAAGTATTTTTTGGTAAACATATTTACTATAGCTACTAAAAGGGCTCTGTGTTTTTCAGATAAGCTACTGCAGAATGTTGGAGTTACAGTTCAAAGAGAAATGATTATTTAAAAACAATTACCTGTCCCTATACACATACATATACAGAGTCCTGACACTACATGTGTCTGTAATTTCAACATATAGTGCAAACTATTAAGTCCTAAGAGCTAGTGAAACTGAAAATTTCTGATGTCTTATTGCCAATTTCTATTTTCATACACAAATCTTAAAGTGCTAAGATAATCAAACTTTGGATATAAAAACCATAATCCACTTCTACTTATGAGAAAACTCTGTTCATCCAGGAATTCGTTACTGTAGCTATACTATAGAGTATCAACTCCAAGAGGCACCATTATTTGTTTACAAAGTTGTTAACTGTATCTTAAGTTGAAGTATTATTATAAGAACTTCATATTGTTAAAACCAAAGAAGTACTGTTAAAGGGTTTAAACTATTTCTCACACTAACTCTTTCTTGGCTGGCCACTAGAGTGTGCTAGAAACACAGTCACAAAGAACCCGAACTGATAGTAGCAAACGATCCTTCAAAAATTTATAGAGTAAAAGAGAAAGGAAATTGTTGGTGCCCTACCAAAAGGTACTGCAATACTGACACACTTTAATTTTGAAAGAAACAGGTATCACCACCTCTGTCTATAGCTCAAATTCCTACCCCTGAAAAACAGAGATGTGGTTTAACAGCATTCAAACTAAGCTAGTGACATTAAGATTAATCCAAGCCACATATAGCCCCTCCCTCCCCCAAATTCCCTCCTTTTAGGAAATTAGTTAATGATGGGTTAAGCCTGGCTCCAGCTTTGTTAAAAATTACAGGGGAGCAAGGAGGGGGAAAGGAGAGACTGCTGGGTGGGGAAAGACAAGAAATTCCCTACTTAATCCAATTTAGAGGTGAATCTCACATACATCACATAAACTTAACCAAGAAACTAAGGATGTATAGCAATAACAAGGTAACTGCCCACTGCTTACCCAATGTCAAGCTATTTAAGAGCACACTATTCCACTGGCAAGAATCTCACTCTGACCCGAATATAAAAATGCTTCAGCTCTGATTTTAGTTCATCCCCAAGAACAATGCTTCCCAACACCATTAATGATAAAAAAGAAAACTAATGCCTAACATCCCCTACAATCTTAGCGGATGTTAATTTTCCTATAAAAGTACTACTCAAGGTGAAATTGCCTAACTCCCAAAGTTAGACTGTAAATTGCAAAATCACATTACACTGTAAAAACGAGGTTTCTTTTGGTAACAGTATAGAGAGGAATTTTCTGATTTCCAAACCATTAATAAGCCTAAGGCTTAGATGGGGTGTGTACCTAAAAAATAACGCAACACTCAAACTGTTACAATCCTCACTGTCTCATGGAGATCTTTCTTAGTGGCAGAAGGCAAGCCAATTTCCACCTTCCCCATCTGAGTGCTTTCTTCTTTTAAATCCACTCCCGGGTAACTCCAAGTGATTCCAAAACTTAAACGCGCTGGATAACGACAAAGCTTTCTTAGGTTTGACTCTAAACGGAGGAATGATTCGCCGTCCCCACACACCCCTTCCACCGGGCACAAATCTGAAATAGGGGTGGGGGATGTCATCTCCCTAAATTTGTTCCCTAAGACTCTGGACCCCGTGAAGTATTCTGTCCAAGCACTGCAGTTACAACTGCACCCTAAACCCCCCATGTGCAGACATTCGGCACCATTTCCTTGGCCCAGATACCCCAACATAAATACACATTCAAGATGGAGGCGGGGGCCTGACCCACAGCAGACCACCGGACGAGCCCCGGATAGCCTTTGTCTCTTTAGTTTTTTTTGCCTTATTTTTAACTCAGCGCACCGATCGCGACCCCCGAGCCCTGGCACCCCGGAGGGTTCCTAGGCAAGGCCTAGCGCTGGAACGTCGGGACCTCCCTTCGCAGCACCAAGGTTCCAAGCAACCCTGCAAGACAAAGCCGTCCCCGGCCCAATTCGGGTGCCCACCGAAACCCCGCCCCTGCCCCGGCCCCTTCCACGCGTCCCAGAGGACTGACTGAGGAAGATGGGGGGCGGGGGGAGGATGGAGACGGGGGAGTACAGCGAAAGGGTGGGGGAGGGGACGAGGCGTGACGAGCCCGGCGCGCCCCCCGCCCCCACCGCCGGCTCGGGAAGTCAGGAGGGTCCGCAGGGCCTGACACTATCCCCTCCCCCCTCCTCCCGCTGCGCGGGGCCGAGAAACCCCCCGCCAGCGGGGCCGCCCCGGGCTGCAGGAGGGGGCTCCTCCGGCCCTCCGCCGCCCGCACCGTGTCGGGGGAGGGGCGCGGCGCACCTTGCGCTTGCGGGCCTCGGCCGTGCCGCTCCACACGAAGCACTGGTAGATGGCGCGCAGGTTCTGCTTCCAGTTGTCCACCTTGAAGCTGCTCAGGTGCGAGCAGCCCGGCGGCGTCACCACCAGCTCCGCGTCCATGGCCTCGCCCTCCGGCTCGGGCCGCGAGACCATGGGGGGCAGGGCCCGGCCGCGCGCGGAGGGCGGCGGGGGCGGCGAGGGGGACGAGGACGACGCCAGCGCGCTGAGAGGGCTGCTCGGCGGCGCGCCCCGGCGGGACGGGCGCCGGCAACAAAGCTCGGCGGCCGCGGGGCCGGCAGACAAAGATGGTTGGTGTTGCACCGACGCGCAGTGGAGGCGGCGGCAGGCAGGCGCCGCCCGCGCCGAGCTACCTCAGTGCTGAGGGCGGCGCGGGGCGGGGCGCAGCAGCCGGCGGCGGCGGCGACGTCATCCCCCGCCTCCTGCGGGCGCCGTACTGCGCACGCGCCTCCCGCTGCCCGAGGCCCCGCCTCCTCGCCCCGCCCGCCCACTCCCCGGCCCTGAGGGGTGGGGCTAGTGAGGGCCCGCCCCCGCGCCCTCACCATTGGTCGCTGCCCCGCCCTCGGGCCTCAGCAGCCCGGTCATTGGCTGTCCAACAGATTCAGAGCCGCCTCCTGGCACGCCGGTCACCGGGCCTTCCCGATCTTCCACGGAGAGCTGGGGAGGCCGGGGCTTGCGGAGGATTGGGTGATGCGGGATGTCCGTCAGGACCCTGAACTGGTTTGCACCGGTCTGAGTTTTGCCGCAAAGAGGCGGAGCCACGGCCTGGGCTGTGCTAATGGCAGCTGGCTCGTTCAGCTTTGGTTCTTGAAGCCGCAGCCTGTGATTTCCCACTGGAGGCAGCACTCCCTTGGTTCACTGTGTTTCAACTGGAATCATAGACAAAGAGTTTATGAGCTAATATCAAAGTGAAGATTCGAACCTGGGAAGCAGGCCAATAGCTTTTACCCTGTGAGAATTGCCCCCCAAATCACAAGTTTGAATTTAGTTTATATAGCAAGTCATTGACACTAGGAATGTAATTATTCTTGGGGGGAGGGGAGGAGTTGTGGTTCTGAGTTAATTTGACCTAAAGATGTGTTGATGAATGTCTATGCACAGAAGGAGGCAATTTTGGGTTTAAACTCACCCTTTCTAAAGCCTGCACTGTGGAGATGTAAAGACTGGGTATTAATTGTCTAAATCTTTGTTATCAGGCTCTTTGGTCATGAGTGCAGGTAGAAAGGCTGACGTTACCTACAGATGGCAGATTTTGTATAGTGTTGTAGAAATAAATTCTAGCCTTTTACCCAGGCAGAGGAAGAACAAGCGGTACTTCAGGAGTGGTGAGGTCAGGAGAAGCTTTATTACAGGTCAGGAGAAGCTTTATTACTCATGCACAAGGTCCCAGACGAGGGTAGTCCCTAAGGCCTAAGCACCAGTTTATAGACCAAGGGTTCATTTTCTATACAACTGTGTCCATATCTGTTACATTCATAACATTGTTTTTCAGCAGGCACAACCATTTGTGGCAAAGTCCCCAGACAAGGTGGACAAGGCAAGGGCGGAAAGAATGCAGGCATTCCGGGATGGCCTTGGAGAGAGAGCCCAGCTAGTTGCATGTCCGACCTTGTAGATAAGAGTGCTGAAGCCCTGGGCATGAATCCTGAAAGGGAAGGAGCTGTAAGTAAGCAAACGTGTTAATTATGCCTGCAGTGGAATGTTCATTGAACCTGGGCTGGAAGTTCTGCTAGAATCTTTATTATATTCATTTGCTCAATAATATATTTTCACTTCAATAGCTGTTTACTTGCTTGTCTGCTAGAGCAAGGTGGGGTCATTTTACAGTATGTCTACAACTGTCAGTTCCATTGGCCACGGAAGTCCCTCATCTGAGACTGCAGGGCTCTTTCATTTTTGTAGCCTATCCTAGACACTACAGTCTAGCTCCAGGTACTGAAACTGCCACTGCGTGCTGGACATTGCTTCAAGGAAGTAGGCTGGGGTTCCTCCCTGCCTATCTAAAGAAATGGTGTGCGAGTCACCTTCCATTTTCAATTTTCTGTTAGCTACAAAAATTAAAAACAGGGCCTCCCCTGGTGGCGCAGCGGTTGAGCGCTGGGCTGCAAAGGTGCCCGCAGCCTCTGCAGCGCCGTTTCGACCCCCGGCCACCGGCGAGGGTCCCACATGGCGCGACAGACCGCTCCTGCCGCCCGCTGCTCCCCTCAGCAGTGTATTTCGTCACTCTGGCTGTTCTGTTCCCAGCTCTGGCTCTGGTGAATTCTCTCACCCTCCCGCGCTTCTGACTGTACCCAGGGCTTGTATAAATAAATAAATAAATATTTAAAAAAAATTAAAAACAACTGAAATTTATAACATACCTTAATTAATCCTATCTAATATATCATTTTAACATGTAAGGAATACTGTAAAATTAAGTGAAATATTTTGGTTTTGTGTGAATTCTTCTAAATCTGGTATTTTACACTAACAACACATTCAATTTTAGTATATGTGCTGCCGAAGCAAACACACTAACAACACATTCAGTTGATACTAGTCATAGTCAAAGAGCTAGTGACTACCATTTGGACCATGCTGGTCTAACTGATAAACAAGTGACATCCAGTGTGTTACCCAACTCTGCTTATTACACTGCTAACTGCTGTGCTGCATTCCCAGAAAGGCTGTTCCCACAGGTTTAACAATAAATAAAGATAATCTCATTGCAGTTGCAGATGCTGCATTAATGGGCTAGGGACTGGAATAAAGCATTTGTGGTTAAAACAAATTGCCAAATACACTTTTGCTTCAGATCTTTGTGCTTGCAGTCCCCCTCCCCCATGTTCCATAGTTCATACTCCCTACCTCCTGTAGGCCTTAATCACATTTTCTTTTGGGCGAGACCTTCCCCTGCCACCCTGTGAAAATTGCAACCTCTTCCCAATTCTCCATCCCCTTACCTGGCTTTAAGTTTTCCCAAAGAACTTATTTAAGTGTTTACTTTTTATTAGTTATTCTCTCAGTAGCATGGATACTCCATCTGGGTGGTGATTTTTGTGTTTTATTTATTTCCATATCTCCCAGTGCCCAGAATAGTTTTGGCTACAGCAGGTTGTTTTAAAAAACAAACAAACAAAAAACAACAGTTGTCTCAAGCCCCCAGCCCAGGCCAGTTCCTTGTCCAGTTTGTAGTTGCCAACTTCCTCTTTGTTTTCAACATGACAGATGCTGCTGTGTCCTTCACCAAAGACTTCCTAGCAAGTAGAGTGGCAGAAGCTGTCCCCAAGACCCAGCAGTGCTACTGGGATAACATCCTTGTGTTTTGTGTACCCTCTTGATTTTGCCTGGACCCATCTAGCAGCTCATGTGGGTAAAGCTGGAGCTGAAAGGGTATTCAAAGGCCCTGGTGACTGCCTGATTGATATCTCCAAATCTGGTGGGCTTAAGGGCATATAACAAGGATTTAATGTGTCTCTGCAGGGTAGTATTAGCTACTTAGCTGCCTACTATCTGTGACACTGCAAGAACACTCACACTCACATCCCTATCACCTGGATGACTGCAGTGGGTCATGGCTGTGGCCAGGTTGAATTCTTACCTGTTTAACAACTGTGTGTTGCCACATGATGATGCAGTTGGGGCACAAAGGAACTGATATTATATACATGGGCACAATTGGCTGCCGGAGGAAGATTACATGTGATGATGGAAAAAGTGCTTTTTTCAAGGGTGCATGGTCCAGTGTGCTCAGAGGTGTGGGTGCTGCTTTTGTGCTTGTCTTGTATGAAATCATGAAGTTCACGAAAGTTATTTCCTAGTTCTTCCCTCCCTTCTCTGTGAGTAGATAAGTTGTATTTATATTTTGAGAATTCTTAAAAAACTGTTAGTTGTCTATCAGTGGCAACTATTTACTGGTTGAAATGGGAAGCAATAATATTCATCTGACCAGTTTTCTCTTAAAGCCATTTCCTTGATGATGATGATAATGATGATGATGGGACTTAATTATATTTTTTATTTCAGTTACTCCTGATTAATAACAAATTTGAATAAATAAAAAAGTATCTGAAATACAAAAAAAAAGTTGTATTAATAAATTAACCCAAAGAAACATTTATAGAGGGCTCTATTAAGACCATTCTCAGAATAAAACATTGGTTAAGGAAGGCATGCTATGGACACATTAGAGAAAGGAATATCTGAAGGTGAGGGCCTCCCTGGTGGTGCAAGGGGTTAAGCACAGCACTGTGAAGCTATCCACAGCCTCAGCAGGACAAGTTCAATTCCCAGCCAGGGAGCTGACCCACATGGAGCAGCAGACCTCTCCTGTCTCGCCCGCTGCTCCCCTCAGCAGTGTGTTTCAGTCAGTCCACCTGTTCTGCTCCCCACTCTGTCTCTGGTGAATCCTCTCATGCACACACACACCCCACACCTCTGGCCTGTACCCCAGTTCTTGTATGCATAAATAAATAAGTCTTTTTTTTTTATAGAGGCATGTTTTATTTATTTATTTGTTTGTTTGTTTGTTTGTTTGTTTATACATGCACTGGGTACAGTCAGAAGCGCGGGAGGGTGAGAAAATTCACCAGAGCCAGAGCAGGGAGCAGAGCAGGCAGAAGGACCGAAGTACACTGCTGAGGGGAGCAGTGGGCGGCAGGAGAGGTCTGTGCGCCATGTGGGACCCTCCTCTGGTGGCCGGGAGCAGCCGGGGATCGAACCGGCGCTGCAGAGGCCGCGGGCAGCCTCGCAACCCAGCGCTCAACCGCTGCGCCACCGGGGAGGCCCCTAAATAAATAAGTCTTAAAAAAAAAGAAGGTTGAATAGTTGTTGACCAGCCTTTAAAAATAATTGACATGGTGAAGATGCACGGTAGGCATTTTCCATGATCCATGGGACTAATATAGCCTAAAATATTATTAATTTTTATTTTTGTTTTCATATTTTGAAAAAGTTTAGAACACCCATGGAAATGATTCTAAGATAGTCAAATAATGTCCTAGGTCAATAATCCTTCATACAACAACAGTGAACTCTGAATAAAATACAAATATGTGAAGACAGCAGAGATGTGGAGAAAAGGGAATCTTTGCACACTGTTAGGAATGTCAACTGGTGCAGCCACTATGGCAAACAGCATGGAAGTTCTTTTAAAAATAAAGACTACTTTCTGATCCAGCAAT